CATCAGGGTCTCATGACAGGCCGAGAAGTGGACCTGCTTGGTAAAGCGGTCGGCGGTGACCAGGATCGAGTCGAATCCATCAGACTTCGGCAAGCCGACAATCATATCGGTCGTGATGATCTGCCACGGGCGCTCGGGGATCTCGTTCGGCTTCAGCGGACCCTGGGTCTTGGCTGGGAATGTCTTGGTGCGGTTGCACACATCACAGGTGCTTACGTACTCATTGACGAATTTAGACATTCCTGGCCACCAGTAATTCCGTGATACGAGCTCCAGGGTTTTGGCACGACCGCCGTGACCGGCGATCGGTGAGTCGTGGTGGATCTTGACTATATCCCACCGGAGCTCCGCGTTCTTTGGGACGTACACGCACCCGTGGAACAGCAGAAGCCCTTGTTCGGCATTCCACTCCTCAAAGCCTCATTGCAGCCGGGGTGGTCCGAGATCCTGCATCTTTTCAAGTGCCTCGGCCACTACACGATCTTTCTCCGAACATTCCCGGATGCGCTTCAGAAGTGACTGATCGGCTGTCACGGAGGCATGACCGTGCCTAGCGGAGGCGATGCGGAACCTTTCAGGTTTGAGAACCACCTGATCGGTGTTATTGTCCTCATCGCCGATCTGATGGTCTGATCGTCGTGACAGGGCATCAGCCTTTCCATTGGACGTCCCGGCCTTGTGCGTGATGCGGAAGTCGAAGCAAGCCAGGAACAGCGACCATCGTGCTTGACGACGCGTGAGGTGCTGGGATGTACGCCAGTACTCGAGGTTCTTATGATCGGTTACGATCTCGAACTGATTGGGTAACCCCTCAAGATAGTGGCACCAATCATCTAGTGCCTCGATGATCGCGAGCATTTCCTTATCGTAGATCTCGTAGTTCCGCTGCGCCGGGTCCATCGCGTGGGATCTGAAGGCGATGGGATGCCACTTGCCGTCGTCCTGCTTCTGCATCAACACGCCGCCAGTGGCGTAGCCCGAGGCGTCAACCTCAATGTGCGTCTCTCGATTAGGATCGTACAGCGCTAGGACTGGAGTCGTCGCGAAGAGCCGCTTGAGCTCATCGAAGGCATGCTGCTCTTCTTCGCCCCAATGCCATGGGTCATTCCCTGTGAGCCGGTCGAGTGGTTGCGAGATCTTAGCGAAGTCCTTAATGAAGCGGCGGTAAAAGTTGGAGAACCCCCGGAACTTCTGAACGTCTTTTTTGTTCTGGGGTACCGGCCACTCATTGATTCCTTTTAGCTTCGCGGGATCCATCGCCACCTCATCGCCACCGAACACATAGCCGACGTAGTCGACCTTGGGAACATCCCATTCGCACTTCTCAGGCTTCAGGAACAGATCGTTGTCCTGAAGGCGACGAAGAACCTCGCGTGTGACCTTCTCGTGCTCCTCCTTGTTGGTAGAGAAGATGAGTATGTCATCCAGGTACACGAGGATCTTGCCACCGACGATGATATCGTGGAAGATCTCGTTCATCATCGCCTGGAAGGTCGCGGGGGAATTGGTGAGACCGAAGAACATCACCAAGGGCTCGTACAACCCTCGGTTAGTCACAAAAGCCGCCTTCCACTCGTCACCGGCTTTGATCCGGACGTTGTTGTATCCCCATCGGACATCGAACTTCGTGAAGAGCGTAGCACCGCGGAGCTTGTCCACCATTTCGGCGATCAACGGCAAGGGGTAACGATTTTTGACCGTGATCGTGTTTAATCGGCGGTAGTCCTGTACGGGTTGAAGCGTCCCTTCCTTCTTTTTGATGAAGAAGAAGGGGGACGAAATGGGCGACTTCGATTCCCGTATATAGCCTTTCGCCAGCTACTCCTTGAGGAACTTGTCCAGTTCCTCCTGCTCGTTGTTTGACAGGGGATACACCTTTGAGTGGAACGTCGAGTAGCCGGGCACGAGTTCGATCGCGTGATCATAAGGCTTCCTTTTGGGTAGCCGTTCTGATGCTTCTTTGGAGAAGACATTCAGGAACTCGTGGTACTGTTTAGGTACCGACTCCTCGGCGGTCTTGACGACCTTCTTTTTGATCTCTTCCTCAGCGAACAGCTGGGAGTACGTATGCCCGGCTGCGACGAACAGCTGAGGGGCGCCGGGAAGCGTGATACCTTGCTCCCAGGCTTCGATCAAATCGGCCTCGTCCCACTCTACCTCCACCAGATCTTCTTCGGGTTCGAAGTCCGGGAGTACCTTACTCCGGCAAGCGCCTATAACCGACCGTTTGGACTTCGGCGAACGCCTGCGCGCCGTGGGCCTGACCCCCATATCACGCGCAGTCGACGCTTGCTCCATTCGGCCAGTCTTCCTGGCACTGCATGTTTCAGGGCACCGTGATAGTTTCAGGGAGCCTGACTCCCAATTAATCTCAGGGTTGTGCTCGCGTAGCCAATCCAACCCAACGATCACATCTTCTGGACCGATGTCCGTGACCGTAAACACTGTCTTCTCGACGTGTTCTCCTATTTGCATCTGTAGCACGGCTACTTCCGAGATGCTTCCATCTTTGTTGAGTGTCCCATCAATATTGTAAAGCGGAATTGGTTCCTTTAATTTCCGTGTTCGTACTCGGTTCTCCATGATGAAGCGCTTATTGATGAACTTCGTGGTGGCTCCGCTGTCCACCATTGCAACTATGTCCTTGTGCCGTCTTTCTCCTTTAAGGCGCACCGGGATGTGAAAGTGCTGGGACCCATGGTCCAACTCGTAAACATTCGCGGTCGCCAATACATTGTATAGATTATTATTACGCAGCCCGACGCGTGCGGCACGAAGCGCGGACCGGATCAAAAAGACTCCTCTTTCATCGCCCGATAGTGCTCGAGCTCCTCGCGCATCGACCTCATCTGTGCTATCAAGTCCGCCAGCTCGGAACTTTCCAATTTCGCTGAAGCGGCGCTTGTACTCGCCAAGGATGAAGCGACGGGGGCGCTTGTCGCCGCCTGGGTGGATCCCGAGGCAACCGTAGCCCGCGCGTCAGCGCGTTTTGTGTAAGGCTTGTCCTTACAGTTGGGGCACTCGAAGTGTCGGTACCCTTGCTTCCCGCAGCCGAAACAGCTGCCCGGGAAGTCTCCTTTTCTGACGGCCGCATTGATGCTGGCCGAAGCTCCATGTGACTGGGGTGCACCACCACGTGCCCCTCCACGTCCTCGACCTTGAGCCGAGAAGAAGCTGTTCAGTTCGGGCCGACGGGCCCGGCTGACGTCGAGGATTTGCTCGACTTCAGTGGCACGCTTGTCAGCAGCTTGCCACGTGGCGAAGGTTTCGAGCTCAATTTTGCGATAGACACGGGAGGGGATGCCGCTCAGGTACTTGTCGCGTAGTTCCAGGTCCCCATACCTGGAACGGTCCGCCGGACCCTTGAACAGCACAGAGAATTCTGCGGCGGTGTGCTTCTCGCGCACGGTTTTGTCAGCACAGAGCTTGTTGAGCTCTACCTGTGCCGCGGCGGCGTCGTCGAGGTTGCCGAAACGGGCTTTGAACGCCGTGAGGAAGGCCGTTTCGTCAGCGAAGGGCGTTGTCGCTCCCTGAGTCCTAATCTGGACAGCGGCGAGCTGGGCGAAAATGGGAGTGGCCCAGGCTCGTGCGTCACCATCGAGGAGGCTAAGGGCAACTTGGACCTTCAACTCGATGGTGGAGAGGGTCGTGTTAACCGCCCAGTAGATGAGCAACTGGGAGACAAAGCGGTTGCACTCGACGACGGTTTGTCCATCATATCGGAGAGGGAGAAGGAGCTTCAATGTCTCCTTGTCAGGTGCGGCGGCGGGAGAAGACATTATCGGCGTCGGGGGGGACGGAGGACGCTGCGGGGGCGGAGGCGGCTGTGGTGGCCCTCTGCTGGTCGAACTTCGAGAGGAGCGAGTGCTCGAGCGGCCTCTCGGCGGAGTCGGCGGTGAAGGCGCCGGAGAAAGTTCGGTGGGGGGGTTACGTACGTCAGGGACTGCTGACGTGGGGGCGAGCGCTGTCGGCGAGGCGGACCGAGCAGAATCCGCGGACTCGGACTCCGAGACTCCTTCTTCACCTGCACCCTCCTCAGGCTCAGGCTCTGGCGCAGGGTCTGGAGGGAGATCTCCTCGTACTTGATCGGCGACAGTTTGAGGGAGGCGGGAGCTGGGGGAGACAGGGCGAGAATGCCGCGAGGCGGATCGGGACGCGAGGGTGCTGCGGGGACCAAGCGGATGTTGGGCCCTTCTGATTGCCTTGTAGCGCAGGTAGTCTTCTGCGATCGATTGGGGTGTTCGGTTGGGGCACGGCTGCTGTTCGCAACGGTAGAGGGCAGGTTCAGGGCTGTCTGGGAGGTAGACGTTGATGAGGTCCTGAGAGTCGAATGCGTGGACTTGGCCTTGGCAGGCAGCCACGTTGGATGGGGGGAGGAAGGGGAGGTGCGCGTACTACAAAAGGCCGTGCTAATCTAGCTTACACCTACGGCGCCCGAGATGACACTGAGATTCGCAGTTCACGTAGGGCCCAATACTGCTTTTGACTATTATGCAGCAGGAACCAAGGCTACGCGTCCGTGAGGACAAGTACCGCTCACTGAAGCGCAGGTACTGAAGAGTTCGTCTCTCAAGTGTTGGCGATGTATCGTATGCTATCTACGTATCGTAAGGTACAGTAGGGGTGCGCACCACCCAACCTATAGGAAAGGAAAGTGAGTTTGTGGGGTTCCGAGGAATGCCGGCAGCTTTGTGGAGTTTCGACCTAATGTCGCGACTTGAGGTCTAGCGACAGGGGAAAACCTAAAAGAGCTGGGGGCGTTCGACTGGTCCTCACCGAAGCGATGGTGAGCAGCACTCAAACCTAAGGCTAGGGACAAGAATATATTAGTTAGTAAAGAAAAGGAAGTAAGTACATGGGAGCTTACTGACCTAGGGACAAGAGGTCGAAACTGAGGTCCCTAGGGCAGCAGAGGCCGGCTTATATACATGGGGAGATAAGGGCAGGCTGTGCGCACTGGTCCGTGTGCAGCTGGTCCGTGCGCAGCATGCTGACGCGGCCCCAGGGGCCGGTGAGTCAGAGAGGCTGTGTCAGCGGAGCCCGAGCTGTGCCGTGCACTGCCGCCCCATCTAATCTAATTGTACAGTAGATATGATGCGTCCGTATTAGGCATGTAGTACAGAGGTCGCGGGTTCGAGCCCGCGAAAAGGAAAAAATTAAAAAACGGCTAGACGCCATACCAACTCGTGACAGGAGGAGATCATCATCGATGGACCAGTCTGATTCAGTGCATGGTGTTCCCCCAGTGCGTGCTGCAGTGAGGCCTTCCTTCATTATGAGGTCGTCCGTAAAAGAAAGGATGGTGTTGCGGGTGTCGATGTCGATGGCAGCGACCCATACTTCCGGTGGGAGCATAATGACATCGGTGTTGTCATTTGAGCCGTCGTCATGGTCGGGTCAGTGGGAGAGAGCGTTGCTCTGCACCATTTGGGTACCAGGAACGTGCACCAGGCGGAAGTCAAACTCGGTCAGTTTACTCGCCCAGCGTGCTTGTCGTCGGTTCATGTCCTTGGCCTGCTTCCAGTATGTGAGATTCTTGTGGTCGCTGAAAATCGTTACTGGGTATGGGCTGCCAATGAGGTAGTGCCTCCACTCATCTAGTGCGCAGATGACCACATATAATTCCCTGTCATAGATGTCGTAGTTTCTCTCAGCCGCATTGAAGCTCTGGGAGAGGTATCCGCAAGGATGCCAATCACCATTGTCATCGTGTTGGCGTAGTACCACTCCGGTTGCAAACTTTGAGGCATCAGTTTCGATGGCGAAGGGTTGGTTAGGATCCGGCATGCGCAGCACCGGTTCTTCTAGAAATGCCTTTTTGAGGGTCTCGAAGGCTTTCTGTTGGTTGGATCCCCAAGTCCAGGCAACGTCCTTCCGGGTGAGAGCGACTAGTGGTTGCGCTTTGTCCGAGAAGCCCTTGATAAACTGGCGGTAAAAGTTCCCAAATCCGATGAAGGCGTGTACTTGCCTGAGGTTGAACAGCACTGGCCAGTCTGCAATGCCAGCTAGTTTGACGGGATCCATTGCGATTTCTCCTGGGCAGATAATCATGCTGAGAAATTCGACTTCGGTGACGTCGAAGGCACATTTCTCTGGTTTGAGGTAAAGATCATGTTGGCGAAGTCGTTTGATAACACATCGTGTTCTTTCCTCGTGTTCTGTTTTGTCCTGGGAGAAAATCAGGATGTCATCCATGTAGATGCAGAGCCATCCTTCTTGGAGCATGTCTGCAAATATAGTGTTCATCATCCCCTGGAAAGTAGCAGGAGAATTACACAGCCCAAAGAACATCACCGTTGGTTCATACAACTACGGTGGTTTGCCATCAGTCCCTGGTATGATGAACGCTGCCTTCCACTCGTCCCCTTTCTTGATTTGAACATTGTTGTATCCGGCGCAGAGGTTCATCTTTGTAAACACTTTGGTGTGTTTTAGCTTGTCGAGAAGGTCGGATATGAGCGGGAGCGGATACTGATCCTTGACCGTGTTCTTGTTGAGCAGCCGGTAGTCTTGGCAGGGATGTAGTGAACCATCCTTTTTACCAACAAAGAAGAATGAACTCGCCAGGGGGGACTTTGAAGGGCAAATGTATCCTTTACTCAGGTTCTCCTCAAGGAACTTGTCGAGTTCCTTTTGCTGTTGCGGGTTGAGCGGGTAAACTTGCTGTTTTATGTCCGCGAAGCCCTCCTTGAGGTTGATTTCATGATCATATTCGGTGTGGTCCGGGAGTCGTGCAGCAGTGGTTTTGTCAAAGACAGGGAGGAGATCATGTAGGTAGGTCGGTACCATCTGTGATAGCGTCTTTTCTGTCTTGCCTTGGGCGTTCGAGGCTGCAAGTTCGGTGGAAGTGGTGACCCACCTAATGTCGTGATGGATCTTCCAGATCATGCCGTTGTGAAGTCGTTTGTAGCCAGATGAAAGTTCAGGGAGTTGCTCCTTGAGCGGGACATCCCTTACTGCCGGGGATTTCTGTTTCTCATACTTGGTGATCATTGGCATCCCTGACAAGTAGGAAATGATGAACTCATCATTGTTGATGTCCTCCACTTGTTCCTCAATGGACGCAATACCTGTTGATCCAAACCCATCCTCCCCGCATTCTGTTTCATCGATGCAGTTGGTTAGTGCTACTGGTGGGGTACTTATCCTTTCAAGGATGAGCTGAGCAACCTGGTCGCCGGCTTTGACGGTGAATGGGAGGTCAGAGTTATTGACCAGGAGAACTGAGACCTTGCCTCGGTAAGACGACAAATTCGTCCTCTGTTGGTTCTGGGAATGGGGTAGTTACAGCCCTCTTTAGTTCTAGCTGAGCTATTTGCCTTTGATACAGGTCCATCTTCCAGGCCCTGGTCTTGTCTTTCATCCACCAGTGGTTCAGCTCGACTCATCCGGTCTTCCAGTCTATCTCGGGGTTTTCGAGCTTGAGCCAAGTGTGGCCGAAGATGATGTCTTCCTTGCCAATGCTGGAGACATAGGCTTTGACAAATCGGGGTTCTCTGCTTATCTTGTAAGATAAGAGAGCTCTTCGCGTGATGAGTGCTTCTTTGTTCGGGGTTCCATCTACATTGAAGACGGGGATGGGTCGGGGAAGGGGTTCCATCTGAAGTCGATGCTCTCAGATGAATCTCGGGCTGATGAAGATTCCAGTTGCGCCGCTATCAATGAAAGCGCGCGCCTCAACGTCTTTTTGTCCCATAGTAATCGGAATGTGCAGAGCGTGTTCATTTCAGACTACTAGAATTACACAGGACAGTGAAACGGATATGGGCAGTGGTTGCATTGGCTCACCTTGCCCTTTCAAAAATCCTCCATAGTGAGTTCTTCATACAACTCCCGCTTCTCATCAGCAGAGAGTGCCTTGATTCTGGCGCGGAAGTCGTCCTTCCCAGATCCTCCCTGATTTGGCCTACTCCCTTGTCGTGCAGCCACTTTCTTGCGGCAGTCCTTGGCGCTGTGGCCCTTGATGTGACAGTAGAAGCACAGGTTCCCGTCCCTGTGGAGCTTCCGATCGACTTTGTTGAGAACAGCCCCTAGTTCCCATTTCCTTCCTCCCGATGTGGAGGCGAAGGTTGCTGCGACGGTAGCGGCATCGATATCCATTGGTTTGCTGTAGTCCCTGGTGTCTGTGATGGTGAGGGCCCCTTGTTTGGCTGCATCGGTGTTTCGGACTTCGTCATACCAAGCTTTCATGGTGTTGGGTCGATCTCTGGCGACCCTAGTTGCAAGAGAGACGTAAAGCTCCTTCGGAAGTCCCTTGACGAAGTTGGTGTGGAGAGTGTGGTAGTTGTTCTCGGTGCAGTTGATGCCATTGACTTCGGTGTCCTTGAGCTGGGCTTTCGATGCTAGTTGCTCGAAGCAGGTGATATAGTTCCCAAGGGAGAGCACTATTTTCTTATTCTTTTGTCATTCGGGCAGCTTCATCAGGATTTGGTGCGCCTTGATTTGTGTTCCATGCTCAGGGAATGCTTCTTCAAGGGTGGTGCGGAAGGCTGCCCAATCAGGATAGACCTGGACTCCCCCTGCCAACTTCTTGTAGTATGCGTCTGCCCATGTCTTCCCTAGGTCCTTCCTCATCAACGCTACGGTGAAGGCGATCTTCGCTTCATCGCTCAGTCTAATGTTGTTGGTGGTGACGAAGTAGGAGAGGACACATTGAAGGAAGCGTCTGAGATCCTCTGCTTTTCCGCTGAAGGGTTCCGGAGTGGGGATGTCAAGGCGGAGGGGTCAGTTAGTAGTTGATTGCTGGAGTTGATATGTCATGAGAGCAGCTGTGATATGCTGATTGATGTCTGCTTGGGTAAGGGTTGCCATAGGGGATTCAACCCGTGCGTTGGCTGGTGCGGGCAGAGCAGGTGGTAGTTCAGTGTCTGGAACTTCGATGGGAACGTACTGGATGTCCGGAAGTTCGAACGGTTGTTCGTTGATGGGTGATTGTAGGTTCTCTGTTGTTTGTGCTGGCTCGATGTTGATTCGTAGGGTAGTGTCACGAGTTGGCACGGCACCTAGCTGTTTTTTAATTTTTCCTTTTCGCGGGCTCGAACCCGCGACCTCTGTACTACATGCCTGATACGGACGCATCATATCTACTGTACAATTAGATTAGATGGGGCGGCAGTGCACGGCACAGCTCGGGCTCCGCTGACACAGCCTCTCTGACTCACCGGCCTCCGGGGCCGCATCAGCATGCTGTGCACGGACCAGCTGCGCACGGACCAGTGTGCACAGCCTGCCCTTATCTCCCCATGTATATATGCCAGCCTCTGCTGCCCTAGGGACCTCAGTTTCGACCTCTTGTCCCTAGGTCAGTAAGCCCTCATTTGTATCCTTTACTTACCTTTACTAACTAATACATTTCTTGTCCCTAGCCTTAGGTTTGAGCATCGCTCACCATCGCTTCAGTGAGAATCAGTCGGACGCCCCCAGCCATAGGTTTTCCTCAGTCGCTTGACCTCAAGTCGCGACAGGTAGTGAATACATCTTCTGGGTGAGCGGGTGGGTGTCTCTGGTAGTAGCTGATGAGCTGTTGATGGGTGACGATCTGCGGGTTGGAACCTTCTGCACGCACCCAGGTGCCGCCTCGAGGATAGATGGGAGTCCTTCTTGTGGTGGTGATGAAGCAATGGTCTGCCCGGTTGTACTGGAGAAGGGGAGATCCTGCGAGGGCTGGTAGTACCAAGGGAACCGGGTTTACTGCGTTGTTCGACATGGTGGTGGATGAGATATTTGACTAGGTAAAACTAGGAACGTAGCTTAGAAAGTTCGACCTTTTGATACAACAGCCTATACTCCTGTATTGATGCCTGACTTGTAGATGACAAGCGAGGGCTTATGGACAGTGCGTCGTCCTGAAGATCGAGCGAGGAAGTCGAGAATGACCACTACCCCAAGTGGAGAGGAGCAAAGAGTTGAATAGATAACCAGGTCGAACTTAGGGTTCGACCGACTAATGGTACAACTACTTATACAAGTACCGACTGTGCACGGACCGTCGTGTCTGTATGGTCGCGTTAGTGAAGAAAGAAACACAGTGGTACGATGTCGAGTACAAAGTGCGCATGGACCCCATTATGTAAGCTACATAATGTTCAACCTGCGGGTGAGCGCTAAGACGGGCGCCAGTATGGGCGCTAGTAGTATAAGGAATAGAAAGGGAAAGACAAATGTTTCAGCACTTGTACTTGCCAAGGGTGAAGCAACGGGGGCACTTGTCGCAGCCTGGGTGGAACCCGAGGCAACCGTAGCCTGTGCGTTGGCGTGTTTGGTGTAAGGCTTGTCCTTACAATTGGGGCACTCGAAGTGTTGGTACCTTTTTTTCCCACAGCCGAAGCACTCGCCGGGGAAGTCTCCTTTTCCCACAGCCGCATTGGTGCTGGCCAAAGCACCTTGCAATCGGGGTGCACCATCACATGCCCCACCGCGTCCTCGAGCCGAGAAGAAGCTGTTCAACTTGGGCCAGCAGGCCCGACTGATGTCGAGCTGTTGCTCAACCTCCGTGGCGCACTTGTCAGCGCTTTTCCATGTGGTGAATGTCTCGAGCTCGATTTTGCAGTAGACACAGGAGGGAATGCCGCTCAGGTACTTGTAGTGGAGTTCCAGGGCACCATACCCAGATCGGTCCGCCGGACCCTTGAACAGTGCAGAGAATTCAGTGGCGGTGTGCTTCTTGCGCAGGGTTTTGTTGGCACAGAGCTTGGTGAGCTCTACTTGTGCCACGGCGTCATCGTCGAGGTTGCCGAAGCGGGCCTTGAATGCCGTAAGAAAGGCTGCTTCGGCAGCAAATGGGGTCTGGGCTCTTGGGATTTTGACCTGCACGGCCACGAGCTGGGCAAAGATGGGGGTGGCCCAGGTCCGAGCATCACCATCGAGGAGGCTGAGGGTGACCTGAATCTGTCACAACTTAGGGTCAAGCGACAGGGGAAAACCAAAAGCTGGGGGCGTTCGACTTATCTTATCGAAGCGATGGTGAGCTAGGCTCAAACCTAAGGCTGGGGACAAGAGATGTATTAGTTAGTAAAGGTAAGTAAAGGATACAAATGAGAGCTTACTGACCTAGGGACAAGAGGTCGAAACTGAGGTCCCTAGGGCAGCAGAGGCCGGCTTATATACATGGGGAGATAAGGGCAGGCTGTGCGCACTGGTCCATGTGCAGCTGGTCCGTGCACAGCATGCTGACGCGGCCCCGGGGGCCGGTGAGTCAGAGCGGCTGTGTCAGCGGAGCCCGAGCTGCGCCATGCACTGCCATCCTATCTAATCTGATTGTACAGTAGATAACGACGTGTCCATATCAGGCAGGTAGTACAGAGGTCGCGGGTTCGAGCCCGCGAAAAGGAAAAAATTAAAAAACGGCTAGACGCTGTACCAACTCGTGACAGAATCTTCAGCTTGATGGTGGAGAGAGTCATGTTGACCACCCAGTAGATGAAAAACAACAGCAAGATGAAGCGGTTGCATTTGATGACCGTTTTCCCATCGTATCGAAGCGGGAGGAGGTGCTTGAGCGTCTCCTTATCCGGAGGGGACGCGAGTGATGACATTATCAGCGACGGGGGGGACAGAGGATGGCCCGGGGGCGGAGGCAGTGGTTGTGGCTGTCCGCCGGGCAGACTTTGGGGGGAGCGAGTGCGCGAGCGGCCTCACAGCGGCAATGGTGGTTCAGGCGCCAGAGGAAGCCCGGGGGTGGTGTCACATATGACAGGGATTGGAGGTGCGGAGGGGAGCATGTCCGGTGATGCAGCCTGACCGTGAAGTGTAGGCTCGGGCTCTGAGACTTCTTCTTCACTCGCACTCTCTTCAGACTCTGGCTCTGACGCAGGGTCTGCAGGGAGATTGGGATTTCCTCCTGCTTGACTTGTACTGACGACAGTTTGGGGGAGGTGAGAGCTGGGAGAGACAGCGCAGGAGTGCCGGGACGCGGATCGAGAGGCATGGGTGCTGCGGGGGCCAAGGGGATGTTGAGCCCTTCTGATGGCCTTGTATCGCTCGTAATCTTGCTCAACTGATCGAGGCGTGCGATTAGGGCACGGCTGTTGTTCACAGGCGAAGATGAGAGCGGAAGGACCATCAGTGATGTAGACGTCAATGAGGTCCTTGGAGTCAAAGGCATGAACAAGGCCTTGACACGCAGCCACGATGGGGGAAGGAAGGAGAGGTGCGTGTGCTACAAAAGGCCGTGCTAAACTAGCTTACACCTATGGCGCCCAAGGTCACACTAGGGTTCGCAATTCACGTGGGGCCCAGTACTGCTTTTGGCTAGTATGCAGCAGGAACCTAGTCCATGTGTCCGTAAGGACAAACACTGCCCACTGAAGTGCAGGTGTTGAAAGGTTTGTTTCCTGAGCGGTGGTGATGTATAGTAGGCTAGCTACGTATGGAAGTGTATCGTAAGGGTGCGCACCACCCAACCTATAGGAAGTGAATGTGAGTGGTGGGAGTTCCGAGGAACGCCAGCAGCTATGGGGAGTTTCGACCTAATGTCGCGACTTGAGGTCAAGCAACAGGGGAAAACCTAAAAAGCTGGGGGTGTTCAACTGGGTCTTACCGAAGTGATGGTGAGTCATGCTCAAACCTAAGGCTAGGGACAAGTAAGTTAGCATAGGAAAGTAAGTATGTACAGGGGCTTACTAACCTAGGGACAAGAGGTCGAAACTGAGGTCCCTAGGGCAGCAGAGGCAGGCTTATATACAGGGGAAGTTCAGGGGAGGCTGTGCACGCTGGTCTGTGCACAGCTGGTCTGTGCGCAGCATGCTGACACGGCCCCGGGGGCCGGTGAGTCAGAGCAGCTGTGTCAGCGGAGCCCGAGTTATGCCATGCACTGCCGTCCTATCTAATCTATCTACAGGCATGTGATGTGCTGACGAGACTTGTCCGATCGAGCGCAGAGTGTATAGTACAGAGGTCGCGGGTTCAAGCCCACGGAAAGGAAAAAATAAAAAAACAGCTAGATGCTGTACCAACTCGTGACAGGGGGGTAATGTCACAAGTTGGTATGGCATCTAGCCATTTTTTGATTTTTTCCTGTCCACGGGCTTGAACCCGCGACCTCTGTACTACATGCTCAAATGGACAAGTTGTTATCTACTGTACAATTAGATTAAATGGGACGGCAGTGCGCGGCACAGCTCGGGCTCCGCTGACACAGCCACTCTGACTCACCAGCCTCCAAGGCCACATCAGCATGCTGCACATGGACCAGTTGCACACGGACCAGTGTGCACAGCCTCCCCTGAACTCCCCCTGTATATAAACTGGCCTCTGCTGCCCTAGGAACCTCAGTTTCAACCTCTTGTCCCTAGGTCAGTAAGCTCCCATGTACTTACTCCCTTTTTTTACTAACTAATATATTCTTGTCCCTAGCCTTAGGTTTAAGCCTTGCTCACCATCGCTTTGGTAAGAATCAGTCAAACACCCCCAGTGTCTTTTGTTTAGTTTTCCCCTGTCACTTGACCCTAAGTCACAACAGTCACAGGTTCAAGCCCATGGAAAGGAAAAAATTAAAAAATGGCCAGATGCCGTACCAACTCGTGACAATTTACTAGCTCCTCCTGAATATTGGTACACAGCTGCTATGGCTTCAAGTTGCCAGCCCTTGATGATGGTGGCAATTGTAATGGGTGGGACAATGAGTGAGGGCTGTTACAACGAGAGAGGACCGAAAGGTTCACAAACAACAGGAGTGGAGGCCTGAATACTGGTGTTGGCTCGACAAAGAGATACAGGAGGTGTTTGAACCATTCTAAGAGATTCTAAGTACCTATGGCTAAATCCGAGAGAATGCAGCTAAGTCCAAAAAGGGAGACAGAACTTGAACTATGTTCATTGATATCTACAGAGTCTATGTGTAATTACATAAAATACAAAGATGCAAAGAATAGTGTGTTGACTTTTGGGTACGTCGGGCAAGTGTCGCTACTGGCCCAGGTCATGTGGTTGTGTGCTGGTGTGGGAAGAGGACTTATGTAGGTGTCGTGCGCTGTAGGTAGCCCCATTAGTTTGTAATCTAATCACCCATTGTTCCCTGTCCATTGAGGATGTTGTCTGCCGGTGGTCTTTCCAACATCATTCTCACATAGTGCACTGAACCTGCAAAGCAGTATTGACAGAGTAATAGCCCAGGGTGCAAGGCATTGGCCCAATTGGTGGCTGGACGTGGGTACCCAGCACGTGACACACCCTTATTTACATTATTTACACCTCTAATCAGACAGCCCTGTAAAAAAGTGTAAATTACCTGTAAATTACCTGTAAAAAAGTGCAGTGATAGCACGTGGACTGACGATACGCTCACAGCTCTGTCCTGGTCGTCGCAGACAATGCACGGGCGCCGCGCAGTCAGCCAAGACAGCGAAGGGGGTATCGAGCTCGAGATTATGTAGCTGCAACGAGTCATATGTTCTGTCTCGACGGGCGGATACTTATTCTATGATCAACGCCAAGGCGTGCAGGTAAAGCATGAGGAGGCAACAATCCAAAGAGGACTCTGCCAGTGCTCGTACTTCCCGGGGCCTGCCGTGCCCAATTAACACTGGAGGACTGCCACCTTCTGCTGTGACATTGCAGTGGAATTCTGCACGTCCTCGTGCCAGGAGAACGCCTTGGTGGAATATTTCCAGGAATGATGTATATGGTTTTGTATCCAAGTCAGGCTCTGCAGCATTTTTGCCGGGTGAAAGACCAACATCGTCAATAACCGTCTGATGCTGAATAATTATGGAATCTCAAGTCACACATGCATTGCCAGTAATAAGATGACAGTTGTCGCCTTCTGTTGCCACTTGTTGTGCGGTTGCATGGAAACGGGAATGCACTGTGTCCGTCGCAGCCAAATCTCACAAACGGCTGCTCGGGTCGGCCGCCCGGCTCCATCCCAGCACCTCTCCCCACGACCGCCACATTCTGTCTAGCACGCGCAACTTCTCCGCGCGGCCCAGCGCAGGGTTCTCCAGGTCCACAACGTCCTCCAAGAAACCCTCACGCAGACGGGAGTTTGCGGGCAGATATGTCTCTGCGTACGTCCTAAGGTGGCTGACAGAAAGCAGGAGTAGCCCGGAGGTTAGCGGCGGAATAGAGGGCGCGGGCTGTCCACGCGAGCCCCCTGGCGTGACGCGGTGCGACTTGGGCTGCGCGATAAGGAGGCGCTCGATACGTCTGCATGGTATTTCAGAAGTAGTAGAAAAGTCAAATAACAGAGTTCAGCCTACCTCATTTTCAGCCAGACGCTTGCTCTGCGGTGCTTGCCACCATAACGGCCACGGCCTCTCCCGCCGGTCCAGATATTCCATAGGTAGCCCGTGAACCCATAGACGATGACAAGAGCAGGAGCGACGCCCACGAAGGCGAACGTCAATTCTTGTGACTTGAGCAGCTTGTCGATGCCGGCGAGGGCTTGATCGATATCCACCTACGACCACATGCGTCAGATTTGAATGTACACCGCAGGAAAAGTAGGGATTTGTTTCGCACCTTCGCCTTCTGCACCTGTATGAACAGCGTCCGGAGGAGCGTCCCACCGACAGCGGACTTGAACGGACTCTTGATGTCCTCCTCGTAAATCTGCATCACCGGCGTTAGGTCGCCAAGTTGGATCTGGCGCGAGAGCGCGTTCATCTGCACGGGGTCATAATGCAGCTTCTCCCGAGCGAGCGCCAACGCCATACGTTCCAGGGACTGTCGCAAAGGCATGGTCACTATTAGCGGATAAGACCACGCAGTATGAGCCAAATGGGGCTTACATCTAAGTCTGCCTGGACGCTTTCTTTGGTGATGATGACGCCGTCTTCGCCACCGGCGCGCACTGTCTCAACAACGTCCCTCAAAGGCCCCAGCAGCCAGTCCTCCCAAAAGCCACGCATCGTCTCCCAGGCTTCGACGGCAAGCTCGTGAAGGGACCACCGCGATGCATATGCGGTGCGGACGATGTACAAGGCCAGAGGCGGGAGTAGGACGAGGCGGGGCCAGAGAAGGGTAAGACGCGACGGACGCGCCAGGTCGCGGGATCTGAGTACTGAACCACGTGCGAGCACGTTTGGGGGTTGTAGACCATTCGCTATGGCTCGCAGATATTCCACCGCAGTCCTGTCCACGTCAAGGTCCCGCGGATATGGATCCTGCCCTTCGATTGCCCGCTGCAGGGCGCTCGAAAAGAATGCCAGTTTGGCAAGAGCCTCCTCGCTCGATGTCTCTTCCACAGCTGACGCGAGGAAGTCCCGCATGTCCGCGAGGGAGCCCAGCGTCTCGGCTTTTTCGTCGCGGAGGCTTTCAAGCTCTCTCCGCTTGTAACTGCATTCATCGCTAGTAAGTTGCAATGGTAGGATCACAACCGTAGCTAGCCCGCGCACGATGCTCGCAAACGAGACGATGAAGGCGTGGAAAGCAGATTGAACACTCTTCCGCGGTGAGGCTACAAATGCAGAGGCTGAAGGGAAGCCCCCTGTAACCAGAGCGATGCTGAGAGGCTGCGCGCGGAGGTGTGGAAACAGGGCTACTGTCAGAGCGTTCGGTCTGAGAACGCCGCTGGAGGGGAAGAGCTTGCGCAAAGACGAGGGTGTGAAGACCAGCGGTTGAAGGGATATGTTGCGACTTCGGATGGTCGTAAGTATTGTCTCCGCCAGATTGCGCAGGCGCGAAGGCAACGCTGGCAGCAAGGTAATTCAGTCATGGATTGAAGCAATCGCAATGCACATTATGATGAAGACGCGGTAAATATGTACACTACATTGCAAGCAATAGTCTTAGTACTCACTTTGAACAAAGTACAACGCAATGTTACTTCTTGACCGTTCGACGTCTGCCCACCAGTCCATCTCATTTTCAATTTGGCGGGCTTCATCAAGGAAGACATCCAGAGCCTTCCCATATACGTCCACTGCCAATTTGCTGACGATTGCCTTCTGCAATGCTGCCGCTTCATTGTCAGTACTGGACAAACCCTCGATGCCAGAGGTGGCGTGTGCCACGTCGTCCAGGCATTGCTGTGTATGTGAAAAGATGCTCTGCTGGCTCAAGCTCAGAAATACGGCACGTAACGCGTCTTTAGACCCTCTGTCGGGAGATCCAGGAGTACTGGGAGGAGTAGCCTGAACCGGTGGTACTATCCTCTCCGAGAGGTCATGGGTAATGTGAGAGACAAAACTCGACATGTATCCTTCAAGTACAGCGGTCAGCGCATTTCAAGATGTGTTTCAGAGTCAAAAAGAGAGGATTGGCGAACGATTCCCCACACCGCCTCGGTTAATTACGTCATTTGCCGCGTCCCAATATGGCAGGTGAGTATGTTTGTGGACTTGTCCGAGTCGTAATCACCAGGCAAGGATGAGAGGCAAAAAAAACACGCTGCTCAAATATTCTGCAAGGGTCAACCTGAGGTCGGCTGAATGCATGCGACTTCATTCTCAGCGGTGGGCGTGAATTCGAGAGCTACTGGTGATCAAGACTTTTCCTTTGCCAGTGGCAGACTAGCACGTTGTCAGGTATGCGCAAAAACAAGCAAAAAATGACAGGGCGTCCTACAGTGATGCAAGATACCGAGGCAGCGTTATAAAATCTTCAAGTTTAGTTACGCCTTCTCAAAATCCAATCCATCATCACTACCGCTTTGGCAACCGCGCTCACGGAGACCATCGGCAACGATAAAGACGAGACACTGTACCTTTGCCTGAGAACCACACAGGCTTCAGTCGCCCATCACTGATTCAGAATTACCTTGTGAATGCAGCAGGCATATAAACTACATGATCCATCAACTGAGAAGCGATGGAATCGAATACACAAAGGCAAAGGACAAGCCGGAGGCAGGAAGGTCACGAAAGAAAAGGGATGAACAGTTCACACCATCATGTACGACTACGAGCCGACACACGCTTGCTCTTCCCCGGTCGTTTTGATCCGCCTTTTGCCCTTGGTCCGTTTGCTCCCTTGCCCTTGCCGGCACTCCGTGCTTCGAAGCTGTCCGTCGAAGACTTGGTGTTTTGTTTGGCCCGCTTGCGAGGACCGCCGAAGCCGAATTTCTTGTCTCGTGCTGGCCGCGGGAGCTTCTTCTTGTCCCCGGGTCCTGCACCCTTCGTACGTTTAGAGGGACGGTCAGAGATAGCGTCCTCGACTGCGACATCGAACCCGTCGTCTTGTGGACCGTCCAGGGCATCCTTGCGCTCTGGGAAAGAGGGGTCGTCGGTCAACTAGAGAACAGAACGAATACGAATGTTGAGACGTACTCCTTTTGAGGCCCTTGAGTCGCTCCTCCATCTCCTTCTTACTCCGCTCCCTCTCTTGCAGCTTCTCCATTTGCACCTGCTTGCCAAACTTCTTCCCTTCGCGCTCCTTCCTCTTTTCTTCACTCCGCTTAATCGCCGCGCCCTCATCCAGCAGCCTTTGGCGGATGCGCTCCATGTGGGCATCGGACTTAACCATTTCGGCGAAGTAGTCAGACGGGCGAGTAAAGGGCAAGCCGTGCTTAGCAGCTAGTGATCTTGCCTGCTGTGCGCCGTGCAGAGCCTGCTTGTAGCTGAATGAAACGTTAGAGTGTTTCAAAAGACTAGAGGAGGTCCGACTTACAAAGCTAGTTCACGGTTCAGGTCATCATCCACGCCTACATCAATTGTCTCCGGATATGAGACCGCTAGTGTCTCAGTCCATGGCAATGAAGAGTCAAGTTTGATCGTATCCCGGATGCGTTCCAATGCGATCTGGAAGTCTTGAGTCCCAAGATATCAACCTTACATGGGTACATTACACACCTTGTTGTCGATCTCAATTTTCTGCTGCGGTACTACATCCTCGTCCACCGACTCGGCGTCGGACAGTTCGTCAAATGGTACATCTTCGAAAGTCTCATCGACGGGAGAACCAGTGCTGGAAGGCATGGATAACCGCCTCGTTGCGACGTGAGCAGAAGCTTGAAACTGTGGTAGTGGGGAGAAGACAAGTCGTACTTTGCAGATGATCGAGGACAATGCGCGTCTAAACTATTTCGTATTGGGCGCTTCCGCACACTGGGTGGTTCCCCGCCACGTGCTACTGTCAATGTCAAATGTCTCCCTATAAACTCTCGCGCATGGATTTCTATACGGGAATATAATACCCATAATACACAAGATAGCACATTTTACTCTTGGATAACTTCACACCCGTCCTTCAACTCGCCGAGCGCGATGCGCAATCCCGCCCAGATGGCGTCCAATAACGCAGCACCGTTCGCCATGCCGAACACAAGCGTCGATGCATAGAAGAAGTTTGCGTTGCCTGTACCTTGCACGAGCCATAGACTGTGGAACAGCGGAAGCAAGAGCGACGCGTGCAAGTGCAGGAGTGCTGTGACGATGGGCCAATGGAGGTCTGGTGTCGGGGAACATTAGCGTTTATATGTGGCATCAGGAAGAGAATAATACGTACAGGCGAATGTTTCTGGGAAGAGCGCCGTCATGCTCAGAAAGAGCCCCGGCTCGGAGAGCGTGGGATACGCCTTGAAGGTGGCGAATACTCCGAGCAGAAGGAAGCACGCGTACAACATATCATGCCTAGAAACCTCGTGAATATCAGGGACCGAACATAATGTGTGAGTACCCACTGGAATTTAATGCACATCGGCACGACATAGATGAGCAGATGGACCTGAAAAAAATATGATTGAGCAAGGCACAATATGTATCGAGTGCGCAGGCCTACCGAGAATACCATCAAGAAGAATGGCCGGAAATGGTCAAACATTTCGGTAAAGAAGTACCACCAGAGCCCGGGGTTGGGTGTGAGGTCCGGTAGCACTAGACTATGTTCGACATCAAACGCAAGCCTGAAATTCGCTGGTAAAATACTTACGGTGCTATCCAGCTCTGCGTGACCCAGAGCCGGTTGCCGCATACGAGCGTGGCTGCAAGGGATAGAACGACAGAGTAGGCTATAAATTCAGCCAGAAGCGGTAAAGTCTTCCGGATGTCTGCTAGGAATGGTCTTGGCGAGGCCAAACACGAGACAGGACTGGTGACGATGAGAAGTAGTATAGGGAGGAGAAGGAGGACAAGGGGCATTGATAGTTGGGTCAACAACGCAAGCGTCAGTACTGATGCCGATGGTCGACCTGGCATCAAGGATGAACATGAGGAACCGTAATGAACACGGAGGACACACCTTGGCAGGCGAACAGCAATGACAACACACATAGCGTATTTTCAAATGAAGACGTTGATAACGCGAGGGTGGGCAGCCAGATGTATGGATTCAAGAGATATCTGGTCTTTAGCATTAGCACGAGTGTATATTGCCCAGGCAAAACGGAGCGTACAGCGCAGCTATAAGCCCATCTCTTGCATCATGAGATACGGCTCTTCTTGTCCTCCATATATGCACGAGAGCCCACGCTGCAACGGCGTCACTGGCGGTCCATAGCAGAGGTGCTGTCAGCCGTGACAATGGGAACACTGTGGAGAAGAGCGACAGCAATAGAGGCGACTACACTCTGGTCAGCTCGAGTCATGTATTTAGACGTGTCCAGCATACGTGTCGGAAAGAGCCTCCTGAGTATGGGTCGACTCCATGCTGGAAGAGATAGATGCCTTCCTGCACTGCCCGACGTCATGAGTGGCTGCCAAATACAGGTTGGTGACAATTCGCACACCGTGAGTACGAGGTCAGTGGGGACGACAGCAGATGGTCGTCCTTCAGCCAGTCAGACAGAGGAGAGTAGGCGAGGGCGAGTCTGCCCGCAACGAGTGCGGGGAAAGCAACACTGAAGTCCATGCAGGTCAAGCCGGGCACGCGTTCAGACGCGCTCGCGTCGCGTCTTGTCCTCGATCACTACTGCCACCATGGACTATCCCGTCCTCCCGCCACAGGACATCCCCTCCCAGTCCTCCCAGTCCCAAGCATCACACATCAAATACCACCTCCCGTATTTTACTCCTGTAGAGGTCGAGCACCTCTCCGACAAGCAGCGAGGCAAGTTGTCTGTTACCCAGGAGGAGAAAATTAGGCAGCAAGCATGTGGATTCATGGAGGCCGTAGGTGCCAAAATTGGGTTGTATGTTCCGTGTGGCCCTTCATAGTATTTGAGTGATGCTGAAGTGCGACCGGCAGCCCACGGAAGACGATTGCTACAGCTCAAAATCTGTACCACCGTTTCCACTTATTCTTCCCTCGGAAGGATTTCAATTTCTACGTGAGTCAGCGAAGTGTTCTTGTCATACGCTTTCGAGCTGTATCCCGTTCCGTTGAACTGACATGGTACCCGCAGGACGTGAGCCACGCTTCCCTGTACGTGTCATCTAAGATGCACGACACGCTCAAGAAGCCTCGAGAGATCCTCATGGTCTCCTACGCCGTGCGCTCCCCAGAACTGGCCGCCAAGTCCAAATCTATAGCAGGTGAAATTGACGTAGACCCAGCGGTACGTATCAACAGCGCGCCACTAGCCAAGTCTGACATTTCTGCAGATTGTCGAGCAAGAACGGCAACGGCTCTTAGCTGTAGAGAGGCTGCTTCTTGAGGTCATCTCCTTCAACTTCACCTCTCGCATGCCATTCCCTTATGTCATCAAGGTCGGCAGAAAACTGAAGGGCGAGTGGCCCCAGGAAGTAACTCGATGGCATCACTGACGCCCTGTGCAGCCACGAAGAAGTTGACAAAGTTAGCGTGGCGTCTTACCATTGACAGGTACGAATGCTCTCAATGGCAAGCCTTCTTTGCTAAGCAACCATGCAGCTATCGCACCCTGGCCAACCTGGAGTTCCCGCCACATGTCGTCGCTCTTAGTTGCCTCTACCTTGCCGCTCTTCTCTCTTCGTTCGAAGAGAACACATCACCTGAACGCCCGGGCTCCAACAGCAGTCAGCAAATTGCTGAGACACTGGGAAAGCCCGGGCCATGGGAGCGTCAGTTCCAAACACAGGTGCAAGATCTCGAAGGTAAGCTGCCGACAACTCACACAGGCTCACCCTAGCTCTAATTGTGCTATCTTCTCAGAGATCGCACACGCTGTAATGGACCTCCTGATCGTGGCGTCGCAAAATCCACAAGCGAACACTTCACCAACGACGCCCTCATCCCCGTCACCGCATCTCAGCCGTAGCCAGCACACTCATCCCGCGGCGCACGCCCCACTGCCACCAATACCATATAAAACGGACCAGCTGATCCGGCTCAAGATCGCGATGCGCGAGCGGGAACACCCTCCACGGGAGCGCGAGAGCTTAGCGCCGGGGCAAGTTGAGAACGAGGCATCCTTGCTGGGGCGTAACGAAGGGACCGTGCGGTTTCTGTTCGGCCCTCCTGGCATTGCGGATGCTTGAGGCATCATAGCTACGACCCCTCACGCCTTTTGGCTATACCGAGTCGTCTTGCTTTTATGTTTTCAGGCTAATTGTAAGTCACTAATTCCAGACTCTGCCATGCATCTTGACGGCCTGCATGCACCCGCAAAAGGACTCAGGTCCTTCTAGCATAGTCTTACAAAGACAGAGTAACTACAACAAGCTATTCTGTGTTATCGAGTAACTTCGACCAGAAACCATCCGAGTTCCACATACTCATATCAAGTACAGTGTTACAATACACAGCCTGCACATTCTTGTAACTCTCCACCAAGAACTGTGTCATCCGGCTACCTCTAGGACTCACGATGAGGATAGGCCTCGAAGCGTGCTCCTTATCCAACGACGCGGGGTCAAACGTGCCCCATTCCCATTTCATCACCTCACGCGTCATGCGGAGTCCCTGCCATGTCTTGCTCACGCTATAGACCGTGCGCTCCGCCAGGTCGCGTGTATACTCCGCCTCTGTGTATCCACGATCGGCGAGCCAGCGTACGTACTTCTCTTTGTGCGCGGCGCTCAACTTCGACGACCCCTTGCGAATCCAGTGTTCCGCGCTGTCTACGCTCCGCAATCGAAAGCGCATGAGCAGCTCAAGATACCAGAATACAGCGCGCGGCGCCGAGGTCGTTACTACCGCACTAGGTTCGACAAGGTTGTACTGCTTGGGCGAGCAGGGATGTCGCAGAAACATGGCGACTATTTGGCGTCCAAGCGGGAATTGGTCGAAAGGTGCGTGGTACAGGATCTGAGCTGCGAAGGCGCCAAATACCAGACCGGCTACGTATATACGCAGCTTGGTGGTATCCGAGTACAGGTGGTTCAGCAGAGCGACAACGTCCGAGATGACGCATGAGGCGTAGGACGTCTGCCCGCGTGGGCTGGAAGTACTACCCCAACCCGGCAGTGTGAGTGCAACGAAATGGACCTTTTTGGCGACTAAGGTAGGCGCGAGATCCTGAGTGCGGACGAATCCGATGGACATGCCGCCGTGGAATGAGAGGATAACTGTCTGACTGTCTGGATCCCCGACAGATGTGTATGCCAGCGTGCGACCGTGCTGCAAGGTAAGTATTTTCTCTTCATCGCGCCAGTGCGACCCTGTGTACGACTGGGGGAGCAACTCGTAACCCTCCGGACCTTTCATTGCCTAGGGCAGAAATATCTGGATGAGTGAAGCAGAGCGACCTGGGCACTTTGAGCGTACCGTACGTTCTACAGGTGCCTTATGATCCCTGAAGAGTCAGGGGCTTAACGGATGACTGATATACTGACATTGTGTGCGATTATATATTGCGTGTTTGCCGCTCGTGCGGTCGTGAGAGATTGCAACGCCACCGAGTAGGCTTTTGACAGATTGGGTACGCGCGGTGTTTTCAAGCCGCCTCCAGTCTCGTGGACCTGTCCCAGGTTTACTGGTACACCGCGGTCACATGAGTTTACTAGCTTTCCAAGAGTTTGCCATCATTCGTCGGCGCCACTTAAGGGCGATTGACTCTTGCTGGACTCCGAGCTAGAAATCGCAGATATTATATTCGAGGCAAGGTCCATTAATAGACAAATTGTATATCGCTAGTCATGTCTGCCAACGCTGTCCAGGCTGAATCTGGGCAAGACGATTCCCAAGGCTATACATCAGGGCCGCCTTGCACGGAACTACGCACGTCTAGTAGAACACATGCGGATATCTAGCCGCCAAGGGATTGTGCAGCTCAATGAGACGCGCCTACTCGCCCATGGGTGAAAGTCGTTGTGTGAAGAGTCTAGCACTTTACATACCGTGTGGAAATGTCTCATGCAAGCTAAGCAGCGATAGGACCAAACTCAAGTGAAACTTGTCCAGCACGTCATATCAATGCATGGCACGGCAGCGCGACAAGTATGGCGACAACTAAACATTCAGTCCTCACCAATGCGTACAGATTGAAGTGATACATACCACATCACCAGCACCTCGAGTCGATCACGAGTTCAGGGTATCAATGGCACGTTGCTTGGTCTTTGACACATACTCTTATGATTCTCTACGGCTGCTTCGTTTGCTGTGTTACAAATCTGCCCGATGTCCTTAAACGCGAACAATTTTGAGTTTCCGGATGCTTGCACTCGTTGCAATTCCCTGCGATGCATTTCATGTAACATAGTAGGTGACCACAGAAATGCTTTCGAGGCATCGCCCACCCTACATGACTCAGGAAGTCTCACCAAGCTTGCTCGGTAGAGACTACTGTTCAATCTACCATGAGACCGCCGTTCACCATGATGGTCTGGCCTGTGAATGATTTAAGTCAAGTCACGCCCACAAGCCAAGACCCCTAACCGCGACTTACCAGTAATAAAATATGCCTCTGGTTTGATCAAGTAAGAGACCAGGCTGGCGATAACTTCGGGTTCGCCTATAGGCGTGTTTTTAGGAAGAATCGCATCCTGGACACGAAGTCCATATCAGCGCATGTCATTATGTATTTGCCAAGCATACCTGCGGGAGTTTGGAGTCGCCAGCGTTGTCGGGGATGCTGTCGCCTGGAGGGCGTAGTAGACAATTGGTAAAGTATCTTATGATACCTGTACGCACTCATCGGTGACTTAATGAACCCCGGTGCGTATGCGTTCACGGTGATATTGTGTTTTGCCAGTTCCAAAGCTGAGCGATTAGTGAGATCACATTGAAGTAGAGGACTAGGCATGCGATCGTACCTGCGCTCTGTGTCAAACCACGGACAGCAAACTTCGTGGCGCTATATGCAGACAGTGCCAGCATGCCTGGATGCAGTAACTCATGAGATATAGTATGACCACCCAAACAAGTGGCTCACTCACCCTGCTTGCCCGCCACCGAGGACGCTCCTATGCATCGGTCTCAGCTCCTAAATCCGTATGACTAAAACAGAAATGAGCCGCACCTAGGATTCGTCCGCCTCTTCCTTGCTGTATCATCTGAATGGCTGCATGCTTGTAACATAACATTACGCCTCGCAGGTTGACAGATGTGAGCTTATCGAAGTCTTCCGAAGATACTTCGACGACGTGAGGATAGCGAGACAAGAGTAAAGAGGAAGAATCGTACGTTCTATCAATGGCTTCAAGGCCACTATTCCCGCATTCGCCACCATCTGCGTGCGTATAGCTTTAATTATTGACAACTGTCTAGAGGGTATAATCATACCGCATCGAGGCCGCCAAACGTCTCCACAACCTTGGCAATCATTTTCTGAACGTCGTCTTCGTTGGAGATATCCGCAGGAACTGCAAGGGAACGCCCTCCTCGAGCTTGTATCTGCGACACCAGTTCCTGCAGCTGGTCCGTCTTCGACGCTATGTCATTCACAGCGACATCAAGGTGATCGGCAGCCAGCCGTAGCGCAATAGCCCGTCCAATGCCCTGTGCGGCGCCAGTTACAACTGCTACGCGTGTGAGGGACATGCTGGCGGAGGGTGTGCGCGGTCTCCATTTCACTGTCTCATATATATAGCGTCGAGAATTGCACTAACTGAGAGAAGCGACGACCTCGCTTATCAGGTTCGGCCCACCCGAGTCATTCCAAGTGTCAAGTCGCATTACAGGTAAAACATCACGCCACACGTTTTGGCGACAGAAATCAGATTGTGAAAGGCTCACAAGACCTTGATAACTCACTAATATATGCTGCGTAACCGGGCCCTACGCAGCACTGGAAGGTGTCTCGGAGTGCAATATAAGCCACGGTACAGGGCTGACATACGCTGAGCTTACGTGCCTACTCCTCGTGGGCTACTTTTTGAACACTAGAAGCACGATTATCCTGAGCTCTACTCTCAGCTGTGCGTCCTCCGGCCGCTACGGCTGCATGCCCGGGCTCGTGTATGGGCCAGTCCATTGGAGGCTAGGCAAGGTCATGGCGTCAGCCTAGAAGGGTTGAAGGAACCTTCCAATGGAGTCAACGCTGCTCACGTTGGTCAGTCCACTCTTACAGTGTTGAATTTATGTTCGTCGTCCACCTGGAGTGGAGACATGCTGATCAGAAAATCAGCGCTCCAATCAAGTAATGAACAGGTTATGAAATCGTTCTATTTCCTGCGAGTTTTAATGACCGTTGAGTGCGCGGAATACTGCAGCTTACTCTGCGGCAAACCGAAGGAATTCGAGCCACTGCTGCTGGAGTATTTCCGCACCCTCAGGCTGTGTGTACAGACTTTCTGGGCTGATATTGATGAACGACCTGTAAATGGACCTGTCACAACACAAATAACATGAAATCATGCTACACACTAAGATGGCTAAGAGATGGGGCAATCAAAACATGGATCCTGGGTGCTGTTGTTTTTTCTTGCTTTCTTGACTGTGGATTTTCTGCCCAATAGAACATTAATTTGAAAGGGTAGGGTGCAGCACTACTCAAGTGCATCAGCAGATGGGAACCAATTGCTCACAGACGTCACTTGGGATGCTGACAAATCCCTCCCTGATTGGCTGACCCCGATTTAGAGCTCGCCTTTGAACTTCCTTCCAACCACTGGCGACTTGGCCAAAGTGCCTCAACAAAATGCACGTCGTCTTTCGTTCGCGCTTGCTCTGTCTTTGAAATATATCCACTATTCACGAAAAATATGTTGCAAAACCTTCTCAAAATCATCGTCTTGCCAATGGTGGACTTGAAAGCATTGCTACATGGAACAGCCAGGGCAGATCAATTGGACAGCAGTGACGATGGCAACCAGTCTGCCGGCGGGTACGGCACGCGCGCACAGCCAGGCTTCTCTTCTGCTGCGCTAGATATACAGGAAAGCGAGCAGACAGTGAGCCTTTCTCTGTGTATGCTGCTCGCCTATTTCGTTGCGCAGGTCGCCTTGTCTTTCCTTTGACCGCTCATCATGTACACGGCCGGTCTGTGTACACTTTTCTCTCTGCTTATGTCTTCTCTGGTCTCTGGTCTACCGGTGCGTGTAGTCAATGGCGGGGCCGATTTGAGAGACGAGAATGGTGCACGCCGGCGAGGCATCACTTTGCCCATGAAGGGCAGAGCAGTGGTCAAGCGGAACGTGGAGGAGCTGCTTGTGGGGTCGATTGGACTGGGTGATTTCGCCGACGTGTGAGTGTATTGTGGCAGTCTATGAAGATGAATTGTGTCCTTTTACACCGTATCACAGCGTGTACACTGTTGCCATACAGATCGGGAATACTACAACGGCGGTCAACCTTGGTACGGTTTCCACTGTCAGTTGGTTCATGTCAAATGCGTCCCTGAAAGACAATATCCTGTAGACACAGGTTCAAGCGACTTGTGGGTCATGTCGACGTCCTGTCAGACCTCCGTCTGTAGGCAATCCAATGCAACGGCGTTTTCAGTAGCGACCTTCCAGTCCACTGAAGCCAACGTCAACCTGACATTTGGCGACGCGACTACGGGGACCTTCGCTGCAGGCCCTATCGGTTTGGACAATGTCACTCTTGCTGGCCTCTCCTTGCCTAATCAACCCTTTGCTGCCGTTGACAACACTGATAATACTGCTGTCTTGAACGGAGGTGCTGGTATCATCGGTCTCGGTTTCCCAGCTGAGAGGTAAGTTTAATTCGTAAACGTATGGGGTCTCTGCAACTTGTTTGGTATAGCACTATCCAGAACGAGGTTGTCGCTCAGAAGGTAGCTTGCTTCTTCGAGTGAATAGGCTTGGCGTTGATCTTGAACATACATCAACTAGTTCAACAATCCTTCGACAACGGACGACTTCATCTCGAACATCAATACTTATGGTCCATTCGTGTCCCGCCTTGTAGCATCTGGTGTAATTGATCAGCCTCTTTTTGCAGTGAGTATAAGATGACACATCGCGAGAGGCTTGATCATAAGTTTTGGATAGATCACTCTGCAAAGAGACACGATCGACGTTAGCGGTAGCGGGAAAATCACGATTGGGGAACTTCCCGCGGGCGTTGACAACTCGTCCATCACTTGGGTGCCTGTCCGTTTGTATGATCCCGCTGAAGGTGGCTTAGATCCTCCGACATTCGCCAGCAACGAATCCTATCCATTGTGGGTCTGCAACGCACCTGAATTTTCGATGAAGTCGTGTGGCTGACTGTCAATTTAGGCGTTGGGAGGTTCCTATAGAGAACGTCTACCTTGATGGCAAACAGCTGGCGAACTCGACAATACCTCCTAACGGCGTCCCCTCGTCATTCGTATCTGCGCTGATTGATAGTGTACGTTCCCCACCCTGATCCTTGTCACTCACCTCACATGAAGCACCGCTGATGCTACAGGGCAACTCCCTCATTCGCGGCCCTCAAGATGTCGTTAACAACATCCTGAGCACTGTTTCCCCCGCTTACGCTGCGGACTCTTCTGCCAAGCCGACACTCCCCTGCGCGAGCGCCCACAACCTCACCTATCAAATCGGCGGTAGGCTCTTCCCCGTCGACCCACGCGACTTCATCGCCCAGGCTGAGAATGGGAACGCGTCGACGTGCGTCGCGAGCAGCGTCGTATCGACGGACCCTCCGAGCGTAGGCACGCTGTTCAGCTGGAGCCTCGGTGACCCGTTCCTCAAGTCGAATATGGTGGTGTTCTACTACGGTAATCTGACGCACCCATCCGTGGATCCGCCTCGTATCGGCTTCCGGTCGATGGTGCCAACGAATGCATCAGCCCTCCTCGACGAGGCGGTGTCAGTTGCATCACAGGATCATGGCAACTTTGAATGTATGTACCGATTGACTGTCCTGACCTACCTCTGCGGTCTAATCAAGAATCACTTAGCTACGGTCAATGTCGCGCCGACATCGAGCGAGGTTTTTGAGATCACTGTGACTTCCACTGCTACGACGTCTGCTCCCTCGCATAGCATGCCACCAATAGATAGAACGTCCAGTCAAAACTCGTCTGCTTCGGTAACAAAGCCACATCTTTTCCGGAGTTGTTTTTCCATTGTCGCCCCAGTTGTGTATTTGTCGTTCTTACTGGTTTTCTGAGCCCAAACACTTGCTGAATGCGTGATTGTCAATGAGGGAATGCGAGTCATGATGATGGAAAGCAAGCTAGATGTACGGTGAGGATTCAATGAAGCAAGAGATATATACGTACACGCACAGGGCCAATTAGCTGGTAATGAAGCTGAGCAATGCACTATAGTAAAATTGAGCATCCTCTATGCAAGCTATTCAATTAATCGTCCTTGGATAGTACCTCGACAGCAGCCGGTTTCTTGTGCCGCGAGGCTAGCCAAAGCCTCTCCTGTCTCCGAAGCCTGGCCATCTCGCAAGTCATCCTCGAGACCAGGTCCCACTCTTTTGCTTCGTCTTCATCGTCTTCATCCTCTCCGGGATCCAACGGATTCGCCCTGAGTGCCCACGCCGACGAGATGCGGCATATATACGGGAATAGATCCGAAAGGAAGCCGGCCAATATCGCGTTGTCCGTCTCGTCTCTGTCTCCAAGTATAGAGCCACCAACATCGAGGAGCCGGATGAACAAGTTGCAGATTCCATCCGTCGGTCGTCGCTCCTCCTTGTAGGCGCCCCTGAGTTCGTCGACGTTCGTGTCGAACGCGATGCCCAGCTTGTGAAGCCCAGGGCACTTATGGATGAGTGGTATGAGCCCCTTCAGCGTGACGCGGGGCGTGCCTATATTTCTCTTCAGTTTTGTCCCGATTTCTAGAAGACCCAGCTTCGGCCATGCTCGAGCCATGTCCTGGAGGAAATCGTTGTCGATAATCGTGGGGCAGTGTAGTTCAAGGGTGAGTTCGGTGAGGTTGTTGAGTGCAAGAAGTGGCCTCAGCGTGTCATCTGTCACTGTGTAGGCGGGGTCACCATGTGGGCTACTGGACCCAGCTGACAGAGAAAGCGTTGAGATGGTCGTCTGACACCTGTGCGTGCTGAGCCGCGTTCCGAAGTCTTTAAGCTCTGCTGCAGTGGGGGGATGGAGAGCTACAACATGCACAGACCCCAGCTGATCAGATTGAATAAGGTCAAAGAGAGATGTGCACGAAGCCAGGGTAGAGGCATAGATGATAAGATCCTGTAGAGCCGGAAATATAACTTCGCAAGTAGTCAGCAATGAGGCCAGACTGGATCCTTGCTGAATGTCACTGCGCAGAGACAGCCGCCTAAGGGTCGGCATCTGCGCCAAATGAACTATAGCCTCGTGTGACAATGGAGCGTCGTGAGGTTGCATGGTATAGACTGTACGAAGACAGTTGTGTCGAAGAATGATGTCTGCCGCAATCGCTGACAACCTTGGCACGCACGGGCAGAGGAATGTAAATGTCTCCAGGGAGTTGCACTTCCCTGAGAACTCCTTCAGCGCCACCTCCAGCTGGGCGACCAGTGTCTCGTCGGTATCTTCAAGGATGCGCAAAGAAAGATCTGAAAGTTTGGGGCTGATTAGCAACAGAAGTTCGGCGACGCTGTTGTCTGGCTCTGATGATCTGAGACGCCATTCCAACTGACGGATGCCAGGGAAAAGGAGTTCTGTCGGTCGATGGCGGAGTAGCATACGAAACGTAGATGGATGGACTCGCTTGGAGTGGAGCGAGAAGGAAGCAGGATAGGAATACCTGACACCTTTGATCCTCGAGGCATAGCTCAGAAAGCGGGACCACTCATCTCCTTGTGGTGGACGGGCAAGCCCCTAAGGAGCGCAGTTAGTACAATTCCGGGAGCGATAGAATGCAGGAGTCCCCTACCACAAGTATGGCACCAGTTGTCTCGCAAACCAGCTCCGTTACAATATCTTCTGGAAATAATTTGATAAGGGGCCAGAGGGTTGTATGTGTATGCCAAAGTAGGTCTAGGGCGATGGGGCGGAAGGACTGGCACGTCCGGGCCAGGCAGGCTAGCGTTGCAGGACCGTTACCCGTGCTCCGAAGGGACGCCCATTCGAAGATCATTGTCACGAGTTCAGGGACTTGCAGGCATTGGTGCATTGCGAATAGTTCGGGAGATATGGACTATGTGATATATGGTAAACCATGGTCCTCTCCCATTGCAGATAATCATAAGAGCAATCATGACTTACATGGGAGACTTCGTAGATGCTAAGTGGCCCTGAGCGACCGAACTTCCTGTCGAAGAGAATGAAAGTTTCAAGGAGCTCAAGAGTCACGATACAAGAGCAATGGAATACCTCTCAGACTCGATGTCATGTCAAGAAATATGACCCCGTGACCGACGCGTCGGTGGCGTCGCGACCGACGGTGCACATGGCTATCAGCTCAGTCTGCTTCTTCTTAGTGCGAGCTCATGACACTCCTGTACGGGTGGCAAAACTCCTCCGCGCATGCACGGGCCTCTAGTTTCAAACGCAGAGTCATTTGGTATTTCTCAATTCACCATCATGACCTTGACATGCGGTGTAGGGCGCTGGACTCGGAGGCGAGGAACCAGTGATAGAGACGGCGACATATAGATGTCTGGAACGAGGCATTGAATTAGGGATGGATGACGGCCGCTTTGTCTACATAGCATCAAGTTTACAGCGGGTATTTAGGTGAAGTACGTGGCTTTATTCGAGATCCCGAATCATGGTAGAGAACTCTGATTGGACAGGTTGTTATATGTTACCTTCTTCCGGGAGCGGTCCTCTTCGACTTTTCATTTTCGAAAGTTGTGCCACTCATTGTCGCGCTACCCATCGCATTCTTGTCGTCGCTCTCCGAGTGACCCACAATTCCCGCACGCCTCAGGAAAATCGCCGCCAACAACGTGCCTGCCCATACGATAATTATGTCAGACGTTCTCCGCATCCAGAACAAATATAAACAGGTAGCCCACCGAAAATGCCAAATGCAAAGCCCGACCACAGCGCATCTTTGTACGCAATCAGCTGCGCCGGCCGCGGAGCGTTCGTCCCGTCCTGGTTCACGACCACGCCATATGGGCGCGAAGCACTCGCTAGCGATGAATCGAACACGATCGTCGTGATCGCTAGGCCGAAAGCCGCACCCAGCTGCCAACATTGTTAGCGATGGTCCCACTGCCTGCATATATTATATTCTGGACATGAAGACGCACCTGTGTCATTGTCTGAAACATAGCGCCGCCGACGCTCTGTTCGTGCGACATACACACCTTTGCGACGAATAATGTACCGGAGGCAAAGACGAAGTCCGCGCCGAACACAGAAACGATCGCTGCGGGGAAGCCGAATGCCCAGTATGGAGCGGCGGGATTGATGACGCCATAAAGAAGATTTGCAGTCGCGGTCAGAGCCGTACCCACGGCTAAGGCAGTAAAATGAGTATTTTGTCAGAGAATAAGGCAAGACGTGAAAACCGACTAATGAGTGCGACCACAGGTATCCGTCCCACGAAGAGCGCGACTATCGTATTACAAACAAGCCCCGTCGCTGACATCGGGAGCAGGCGTATCATCGTAAGCACCGGTGTGAGCTCCACGTAGTTCTGGTAGTACAGCTGTCAGGGAAGGCATCAACAGACCGTCCCTGACGATTCCAAGACCCAAACGAGAGGTGAGACGCACAGTGATCCAGAAGTTGAAGATGATGAAACTGCCGTACTCCAGGAACGCGACGACAAATATCACGGCAAGCATACCATGCGCGCGCGCCCAAAGCGACACCTTCATGAGCGGCGGGGGCGTCCACCAGGTCTTGTCCCCTCTCTGTGGTGCAGTTTCGAGGTAGCGCTCCCAGAGGACGTAAAGTATGAGGAACAGGACCCCGATTATCAGCAAAGCAATAATGTCTGCGAACCACAAGGATTAATTCCGTTCTGCATGGGGAAGCGTCGTAGCAACTACTTACATCCTGTTTTCCAACCATTCGGCGCCACGCTGCCGTCGCTGAGCGCGAATACGACCAGTACCAAGCCTGCGGTGACAAGAAATGCACCAAGCCAATCTACTCGCCTACGGTCGTCGAGGTTAGAAATCGACCTCTAAATTCACGCCATAAATCGGACACCCACCTATCCTCTTCAGACGACGGCAAGTCCTTATCAAAGCATACCAGTCCTCCAACAAAGCATAGTGCACTCATTACAGCGAGGAAGTAGAATGTCGAGCGCCAGGTCTGCCTTGATCTCGTGTCAACACATACCATAGTGGTTAACAAATCGATGAGACGACGAACTCGGTCAGTTGCGTCAGCAGGCCCCCGACCGCGCTTCCAATGGCAGCACCAATAGGAGCGCCTGCAGCGAAGGTGGCGAATGCTATGGAGCGTATCCTAGACGGCGGAAACGTGTGCGCAAGGATGCCGAGCTATGAAGGTGCCCGAGAATGGTAAACGTTTGCAGGAAGCAGAGGCCAAGTGAAGGCAATATACCCCAGCAGGAATGCACGCGGCCGCACCCATGCCCTGAAGCCCCCGCAGGATGTCAATAGTAATCTCATCTATGTTTATCAGTTTATGGCATACAATCGGTGTTGATGTCAAACTCACCCTTCGCAAATGCACATCCCAGGCAGAAGACAGCGAGGATGATAGATCCGGCTAGGAAGCTCAGCTTTCTGCCGTAGAGATCAGCGAGACGACCGAAGAATAGCAGGAGGCCTCCCTGACAGTTTGTATATCAGCATAATGCAAAGATATAGTCAAAGAAGACGAACAGAGGTGAGCGCGTAGGCTGAGATAGCCCACTGCAATCTGTATTCAGGTATGCCAAGATCCTTGCCCAGTGTCGGCAATGAGATGGCGACCGCAGTATTGTTGGCGGACTATTCGAAGTCAAGGACATTTCTGTTTTGGCATATAATTTGGACTAACATTGAGTATTGTAGCCGTCGCGCAGGTTGCGATCAGCCCAATTGCCCGAGCTCTGCTGAGCTTTCGGGCTGGCGTCGTCTCGTAGTTGGTACAAATCTCATCCAAGACGCGCTCTTGGATGAAAATCTCTCCTATGGGACCATCGCTGGCCATGGTGGCACACCGGACGTTTCTGCCAGTAAATGCAAACGCGGTAGTGCCGTCTCGGGTGGTCAGAGCTTGGAATCTGTAAGCGGCCTCTTGAAGGGAGACGTCAAGGAGAGGACGAGAGGAATCTGGGGCCCAGCTTGGGCTGTCCCCAAGGACCGCGAACCTATATAGTATTTAGCTAGGTCATAACTGAGCCTCATTTACTGTGCACTGTTCAGCGCGGCCATCACGGTCAAAGGAGCGCGCACATGCCTTATATGGAGTCGATGTTGGTTCTAGACCGCGACGAACCACCAGTCGGTCCTCCCAATAAGGTGTGCGAATTCGCTCGCCGGCACCAGGCGTGTAAATTGTTGCGCTTTTTGCAGGAGTGTTTCCTTCAAGAGTGGTCGGGACGGCCGGCCGACGACTGCTTCTCCGATGTCCTCGCAGTACTTTGCAAGATCGCCCGAGTGCGAGTTCTGTGCCAACTTCTCCCTGTTACTAAGATGCTATTCTTAGCCTTCCAACGACGTCATAAAGGCATCTTGCATCTATATGACGCGCGAAACGAAATGATGCCCCGAAGTCGCGTATGAGAGAAGACCTCTTCTCAAATTCAATCCCCCTTGACCTGATATTTGTCAGGACGCGAGTACAGGCCTTGATATCACTTCCAGCTGATCCAACCAATATGAAGGGTGGTGTATGTCCTCGCAACATCTATGGCATTGACACTGTGCACGCGGGACTTGCAATACACACCTCAACAGGCCACATGGAACGATGACTTCTCTTCCATGGGGTACATTTCAGGAAGCGGTCAGTCCATAGTAGAACCTCCGTTTGCCATAATTGTCTGGCCTATTGACAGATTCATTAGCTTCGTTCGTTCTGCGAGGTATGGTGATGGATGCACCAGTAATGAAGTAGGCCTCTGGTTTAACGAGATAAGAAACTAAGCTTGCGATCACCTCGGGCTTGGCCCTAGGCGTGTCTGCGGTGAGGTTGAGAGTCTGCATGGCGAACTCTCAGTAGTCCATTTCGAATAAACAGAAGCAGGTCTACCTTCTCCACGTCCGGATTGGCAGCTGAAGCACGAAGCAAGTGTCATCATCGTAGATGAGAAAGATTGGACTCAATATATATTAACGCACTCATTGTAGTCTCTATGCAGCCAGGTGAATACGTGTTAACAGTGATGTTGTGCTGTGCTAACTCTGCGGCTGTCGAGAAAATGGCACGTCATCGACGCTCCCTGAGAGAACAAGTGGCCCGTCTACCTGCGCTGTGTGTCAAACCACGTATAGCAAACTTAGAAGCACTGTACGCGGATAGCCATGACATTCCTGCACCCTTTAAATCTAGAATATCCGGTAGACTTGCTGTAGACTCTTCTCTGACCTTGCTTGCCACAGATTGAACTTGCGCCTGTATATTTGCTCAGTCTCTGTACCGGTCAGAACGATATAACGGGCGGCACACCTATGATACGCCCACCTCTTCCTTGCTTAATCATTTCCATTGCTGCGTATTTATAGCACAGCATCGCGCCTCGCAGATTGACGGATATAGTCGCGTCCCAGCTCTCTGACGAAGCTACAGAAGGTGAATTGTTTGACGCATGCAATGAATGGACAATATTTCATTACTCTCTACCAAAGGCTTCAAAGGGGAGACAAGGATCCCCGCGTTAGCGACCATCTGTGAGGGAGGCGTTCGTCGTACGTCATGCACATAACGGTCGAGAGAACGAACACGCACCACATCCAGACCGCCGAGGCACTGCACGACTGTGGCGACCATAGCTTCCACGTCGCCTTCGAGCGACACGTCTCCAGGGACAGCCAGAGCGCGCCCTCCGCGAGCTTGTATCTGCGACACGACCTCCGTCAGCTCGTTTATCTTCGACGCGAGGTCGTTCACAGCGACGTCGAGACCGTCTTCTGCCAGGCGCAGAGCGATGCTCCGGCCAATGCCTTGCGCGGCGCCAGTTATGACTGCTACACGAGAAGGTTGAGCTTGTTCCATGAGGCCCCTAGCAATGAATCCCTTTGTAGCGTCCCTGGCCCTGTCCTTATAAACGGCCTCATGAAATCTGCCCTGATTGAGGCTTCATCTCCGGGCAGATCTCAACCAATGAGGTCCTCGATAGAGAACGTTGAGCGAATGGCATACCTAGGCCATACCACCGGTACGATTCGTGGGATTACGTTCCTGTGTGCGCAGTCGACCATATGATATCAATTAGTGAAGCGTCCATAGCGAGGGCAGGGTCCAATGTCATTCATTCCCTGTCTGACGTTCACTGACTTAACCTTGGTAAAAACAGACATCGATTGGACACGGCACTCGCTTCGCGAAGCCATGACTCGTGCTCTCTATCTTTATCTTACTGTGGCTACCTGGGATTCTTTCCGCAGTGGAATGAGTTCAAGAAACGTTGAGCATACTCCATCGCGGCGAACTGATTCTGGTGAAAGGCACCTCGGCCCCCTTCCGTTAACTAACAAGGAAAAGTATCAAAGAATATCAGTGCCTTGAACACGTAGTAGTTTGCAGCGCAGGCAAACCAGGCAAACCAACCACTGATTAGCTGTCTAGGCGGAGTAATCCATGGATCGAGGTCCAGTGTACAACAGACCATAGGTCATGACCTTTTCGGCGAGGGAGGGCGGTTATCATAGAAAGTGCATACACAAACTCACGACGAAGTCGCCCCAAGCCTGTCGCTGGGGCATGACACCGGTCGGGAGGTATGAGTTCTCGACTTCGGCGGCCCCAGAAGAGGCACTTCCCAAAGCACTCGTAAGTAGGTGGTCTACCAACCACAGGGCTCGCGCTTGACACTTTTCTGCGGCTACGCAGCACAGACAGATATACTGCATATCTGATATCTTAATGATAGTGTCGAAGGAACATGGATGTTGTATATCCGAGAGCCAGAAGGCTGCAACCAAAGCGCCCCGGAGGAGCGTGCTATCCAAAGAAGGGCTAGCGTGACGATGGGTATGAACGCAGCCATCCAGGAGGCGGCGAGTAGAGTAAGCGACAGACGGTCGGTCCGCCAGTGTCTGTCACGGTTTCGCAGAAGGCGCGAGGAGGTACTCCGATAGGCCGATCTTATTGGTGCCATAGCATTTGACTTTGAGGCAACGCCGCGATGACGGGGCCTGTTGCGCCCCTCGGAGCGCGCTGGCAGCAATAAGAGGCCCTATATCATATATCAAGGGAGGGACGAGGGATCCGCGATGACGGATGTTGACAACGCGGTCCGCAGTCCGATCCTCGGATTCATTTGCGCGACGTGTTAGCCGTTACCTGGCCAGTCGTGGGCTTGTGGAGTACACGGAAAGCTAACCAAACGTTTCCCTGTTCCAAATAGACATTTAGACACTTGCCGCGAAGCGCGACACCCAACGTCTTGCGCAGAACCTGTCCGACAAAGACTCAGCGTGATGGCGACCGCGATGTAAACCGCATACCACTAATACCATTAATGCTATACCTGCGGTGCCCATTCGCAAGCCGACAGCTCGGGGCATTGCTATTCCGTCAAGTCTGCGTCACCAAATCGGTGTACGCAGATCGAAGAGCACATCAAAAAGATCCACACTAGGGCAAATGACGCCGACGTTCCAGCCGTCCGGACCAAGAGACTTTCCAGCCAGTCAGGGGCCCCGGCGGACGCTATGACGATTGCCCAGAGCTTCTCGGAAGGCATGTCATTGCGCATGGCCAGTCGTCGGCACCGGTATGGCAGGATTTCAGACTCATAGAAGGGGCGCAATGTCGGAGAAATGAAAACATGTCCTTCGGGTTCGGGTCTTCGATGGGCTCGATGAATCATGATGCCGGAACATACTTCATAGAGGGATCTGCGAGGGGCCGTAGTCGGTACGCGATGCAGTCTGGAGCATATATCACGCACCCTTCAGCTCTTCCGTCACACCTGGCAGCGCGCTCCGTAGGCCACGCGCACGCACCGATAAGTCGTGGTGCGCGACGTACTGCGGCCGGTGGTCATCACCGCTGCCTGGTGACGTGCCTGGAGGCCTTCTGTGCTCGATAAGGCAATGATGCGCACCAGCGATGGTCACCGGTGGCCCCCTCCCCAGCATTACTGAGTACAATGCATAGCGGGGGCAGTGCGCAGGGGCATACTCGGAGAAATGCATGACGGACAGACGGTCGCCCGACGACTGACCCCGGCGCAGATGGGCGCTGTGACGGGTGGCCGGCGCATGTGCTGCACCCATGCAAGACGCACCGAGATTCATGTGCAGACCACCGAACCTGTCCGGGATGGCGTTCCCGCGTCCGCGGGGAGGCAGTACGGCACGGCGTCGGATCGTAGTCGCAGTCAGTGGCAGGCTTTCCGTGCTGCCAATGTGACCTACGGGCCACCTCGCGATGCACGGCATCGAGCCTATCATCGCGCCGGCAATAGCTGTCACCCGCAAACTGTTTGTACGCACGGCCGCAATCCCAGCTACTATTACCACGCATCGCGATCCACGGCTCGTCACGACGTGTCCAGGGTCCTCCCCGGTGACGATACGCGCCCAACGCCCCCTGCACAGTGGCGCTCGCTCCGAGGCTGACTCGCGGACCTGGGCGCATCGCGCGGGGGACGCGCCATGCAGGTGCCCGGCACCCGTACTCTGCGCGAATTGCGCGCGCACGGGACTCCGAGTCCCCAAGGCATATGGACATCGAGAAAGCCCACGCTCCGGCCAGGCATGGATCAGTAGTGGCGCGATTGAGGCCTAAGTCCTGACGGCAGGAAACAGCTGGAGCATGTCAGACGGGACAGCGTCCGTTGTCCGTTGATGGAGGTCCCGGGCGCGTGCAAGTGGAGCCCATCACGACAGCAGCCGCCGACGCCCACCAGTCCCGGTGTCTGGAGGTTGGTGGCGTCCGGTCTGTGAGCTGGGGAGATGCGGGGTGTCGCACGGGGTCGTTAGGACATTCGCAACCGCGCTCCAACCTTGATCTCGCCGGACCACACACGATGTCGAGGGCTGTCGCTGCGCCCTGCAGGAGTCGTTGGGCGGTACGGTCTGTTCCGCCAGCCGCGATCGTGGGTGTCTTGTGTGGCGGCCCGTGGACCACATCCGAACGACGACGACAAATGCGAACCGAGGACAGAGATGTAAGGCGGCACCGCAGAGCTTGCGAAGTGGTCTTCCTTGAGAGATGACGCTAGAACCGCATTGTGCGTGCCGCGGGACCAGAATAGGTGAAGCGGACGCTCACAGGTCTTGTCGAGAACGGTCGAGACTGGACTGCCGAATACAAATCTCGGGGATCCCTGGCTCAAGCGGGTGCAGCGCGGGGCGCGCACGCCGCGCTTGCTTTGGGAGAACATGTCGAGTCGTACTGCATTGAGAGATTCGTCCACCACGGTCGACGTCTGTCGTGCACTTGCAAGGCTGGCGTGACAGCCTGAATTGCAGCGACGCTCAGCCACACATCGCGGCATGCTACATGCCGCCGTGCCACAGTCAGCCCGTGATGTATGCGGGTATGAAGTGCTGACCACACGAACCTTGAGCCTATCTGCGGCATGCCGGTCTCGTCTCCCCACTCTGCCATCGTACCATCCTTGCACGATGCAGACTAAATGGGGCCATCTGGGCACCTCTACTTGCGAGCGCACTGCACGCAACTCGCACCCGATTTGCGGTCCTTCGCTGCCATGCAGCGAAGGAAACCGGTTGCCAGCGCTGGCCCCGCCGCACTGGAGTCCAATAATGCACATCGCGTTTACAATGTCAGGGCGTCGCGCGCTTACCTCACGGACGCACGCCCCCCACATTCTGTGGGGGATAACGAGACACTCTGGAAGCAGGGCCTGCCAGAGAACAACAGCACGCCCCCGATGGTGAGACCGCACCACGCCCGTCCGATCGTTTCGCCTGCCAGAGTCCTGTCAACGCCCGTCAGTCAGAAGAGCAGCACACGCCGACCGCAGGAACACGGTGACGCACCGCCCCGTCCCGCCCCGTCCCGCCCCGTGCTCCGGCGCATGGGCGTGGGTCATTAGACGGGCTTGCTGCTGCCATGATCGCCGTGCTGCCACGCGCACAGGGCGACGGCTTCGTGGCGACTCGTCACAGCTGCAAGGCGAGGGAACCGTCGTGTCCGCAGGCAGACGGCACGCCGCTGATTGACAGACGCACGGCGACGCCCCCGCGGCCGTCTGCTTCCCCATGGGGACGCCCCCGCGCGCCCACTGGCACGGGCACGAATGTCGAGATGAGATCGCCGTGGCGGCAGTTCATGATCGCCGCCCGCGCCGCGCCGTCCCCCCTCGTCCCGTCCGCACGCCACCCCTCGGATCACCACGGAAGCGCGGGGCAGCCGCGAGAAGCACGCGCGGACAGGGCACGCATCTGGGGAATGCGGGGGGGGGGGGGCATCAGCACGACAGCGCGGCATGCCGTAAGGCAGATCCATGTCGGAAGCCCGCCGTCCTGGGGGACCGCGCACATTGGGAACGCGGGAAGCTGCGCGTTCCCAGGTGGACGGGCTGTAACGCGTTACATGGATATCCGTCGAGCCGACCGAAGAGGATGCAGGACAGGCGCGCCGCGGCCCCAGCGCCTGCGCTAATGATCAGCTCCAGAAGTGAGAGCAGGAGAAGGAGGGCTTGGGCCGGTGTGTAGTGTTCTTGAATATGAATGCGGGGATTGAGCGCGAGCATACATGCACGCCACGCGGGGCGTCCGCCTGTTTTACGTGTAAGAACGCAAGAAGGCGGGGCATTGGGTAAGATCAACAGTGAATTAGCGGGCTCGGAAGATCCACCTGAACGCGCTTCTCGCGGGTGCTTCTCATGCGCGCGCATTCACGCTGCACGGGGACGACCCAGCTAGGCGTGCTCTTCTGCGCCGAGGAACCCTTCTCTGAAGAGCAGGCCAGAGCGAGCTGTGCCAGAACGACACAGACGCGCTTCTAGCGCACGGAGGACAGACAGTGGAAGGGCCAGGATGCGGACGATAGGCACCTTGTTGGACTCATATCGATGTATACGTATCGCGGGTGCAGCAACGCAGCCGCCCTGGGAGCGTCGACCACGCCGAGCACGTGCCAAGCTGGAAGTCTGCCGCACAAGCTATGCGGCCTGGTTCCATCGCGCGCGCAAGGACGGTCACGCGGGCGGCAAGTGGGAAGCTGCGCCCAGCATTCCGAGGCGAGGATGCCAGGGAAGTCCGCAGAAGGACGTTGGACTCCACTTGCACCTGCTCGCCGTGCGAGGCCGGTGCCACCGCCTGCCTGGGACGGCGAGCTGACAGCTCTGGCGCGTTGTGTGTCCTGTGTCCTGATGCCCCTGCGGAACGCGTGGCCCCGCTTCCCGGCCGCTGTCCGATATACTTGCAGAGATGCGCACACAGTCGCGATCGAGGCCGTGGCGATACTGTCTGGCCCTTCGGTCACGATCCCTGCGTGAATGGCCTCATCTGCCGCGCGGCCAGGCAGCTGACAGACACTCCCCATTCAAACGTTCATATGTATTTTCATCTTAGGCCATTAGCAATCGCGCGAGACGTACGGTCTGGCCAGCTGCGCGGTGTGGGGGATTCGCAATTGCGTCGTCCGGTGTCACGGAAAGTGTGGGGGCTGGTGTAGAAGGGAGTCAAAGTGCACGCGGGGTAGCGAGGCGGCCGGGCGCTGTCGCCCCCTCGGGTTCGCCATGTCCACATATGGCCATGGCAGCGCGGAATGTCGCCAGACACAGACACACGCCGCGCGCAAGGAACGCTCCAGCTCTGGGACCTGTCACTGTCACGAAGGCGAAGATGGGGGGGCCACGATGCCGCCCGGTACCGCCTGCGAGCGAACGGGCCACGATCGCGGGCCATCGGCGAATCTGTGTCCGTATCTGGGAGGAAGCATGCCTTTCCCCGCGCAGAGCGCGGCACGTCGACAGCGACCCGGACAGGCGACCAACGTGCACGCCGCTGGCGGATAGCAAGACAGGAAAGACGTCCGCGGCAGGCCGGGTTTGGCCAGGGCGTGATCCTGAGCTGGCCCCGCGCACGGACGCGAGATACTCGGCGATGGCATCTCAGAACACGATGAAGGCGCCCGATATGTGTAGCTCGCTGCGTGCCAGAAGGGGGAGGGAAGCACCCCGGAGTGGCATGATGTCACGGCCGAGACGGGCCTGCGTGCGTCAAGAAGGAAGGCCGCACAGGTGCCTGCTGGATTAGTGGGGGGCGAAGCCGTCCCCGCGTCTCCCCACAACGCACGACGTCATCGCATGATCTCCCCGCACGGCGTCACGCGCGCGTCCTCCCCGCAAGTAAGTCCTGACCAGTGTGTGCGCGCGCGCGAGTCCAGGCCGTCCAGCCCTTCCACAATACAATGGCCGACTGCGCCCCCTGTGCTGCTGATGTCCCCCGTTCCCCGCCGAGTCACGCCCCCACCACTGTCCCCATGAGCACCCACCCCCGCCGAAGCTCGAACGCACCCCAATATGAGTCTCGACGCCGGGCATCCCGTCCCCTCTCCGGCCAATTGTCGCCAGTGGATGACAGCCCCTCCCACCGTCGGCCACCTTCCATGTGTCCCGAGGCGTCGACAATTGACCGGAGTCTTCCCCGCGGGGGCGAGCACCCTCGGCGATCCTCCACGCCCACATTCGGGCGCGCAGCCGACCACGCCATACACCACGCGAAGATACATGCTGCCCCGCGCCGAACACAGATAGCAGATAGCACAGATCCAGAGGCTCGAGATGCAAACAATGGTGTGCGCCGCAACTTGGGTAGCACCCGCCCCGCGTCAGAACAAGCCACAAACTTAAGCGACCGCGTCCATCCCGCCGCGGCGCGCACAGGGGCTCCCCGAGGCCGCCGTGACGCCCACAAACGCACACACAAGTGTCGGCGTAGCACCGATCCCCGCCGCCCATCGTACCTACCTGTGCCTGTTCGCGCCTGAGGCGCAAGGCCCGCCGTCTCGCGCGCCGCGGTCCCAGGTCTGGATCGCGGCCCTGGCGCAGGGGGTCCACCGTCCAGGGAGGCGCCAGGCCGCAGAAATAGCGCACGGCAGGGCTCACCGTGCAGCGTTATCCATGATTATGATATCGATGTATTCTTGTTGAGCGTTGAATGGATGATTATGCATGGATTCCGAATGGGGAAGGGGGAGGGCGGCCCGCCTGCCCCGCGTTGCGCCCCAGTTGATCGTGCTACATGCAGCCCGCTCCGCCTGGCGGCCTGGCCCAGGGGAGAGACGATAGTCACGCCCTTGCGCTTTGCGATTGGAAGGATTTCAGGTGGCGGTGGGGCCTGGGCCTCCGGACGCCCGATGCACGATAATAACCATGATAATGATGATAATAATAACAGCGGTTGGGGGCTGCGCCGCGCGCTGAGGAATGAGGAATGGAATGGAGTGCACATGGGCCCCGGTTCAGCGGGCGCGCACGAACGGAGCTGCCCCTAGGGTGCCAGAGCCTGGCGCCAGTAATCACAACAACAGCCTCCTCCTCCCTTGTTGTTCTGCACGCCCGAATCCCGAGCGCAGCCGCTAACCCTCGTTCGCCGAGAATGGAAACAAAAACATGTGCACGAGCTGCGCAGCCAGAGCCTGGCCCAGCGCGTCGCCGGCCGACGCATCTTGCAGCGAGCGGGGAGGGGGGGACCGCCACCGAGGGACGCACGTGAGGCGGCACGACTGGCCAGCGTGAGCGTCGCCCGAAGCCCTGAGTGTACGTTACTGCCGTGAGCTCCGCTCGGTGACGACTGTGAGGAGACTCGGACGGCGGCGATCGCTGGTCGCCTGGGTGCACGCATACCCGGGGAGGGATCGCACCGCTCGCAAGCGACGCCAGCGCTAGTGACGCGGTGTGTTTCAAGGAGCGGCGCAGATCCCGCCGCGCTCCAGCTCCAGCCCAGACCAGCGCGCAGGCAGTTTCGCCAGATGCGGAACACGGCGTTATGTTTATGTTCATGTTCATGCTCATGTGCGCGGCGTTGTTTATAAATGGGGTCCACCATTGACATATTGCGTAATCGTGACTATGGCACAGCGCATAAACTACACCATCTGAAGAGCGTAACGGTATGCGAGAGAAATAGAGAAAGGGAATAGACCAAGTCCCAACCATGCGCCCTCCATTAATAACCCATGCGACTACAACCCAGAGAGACTTTGAGACCGAGACAAAATGGCTAGTGTACACAATGGCGTGAAAGTGATGAGGAGGAAAGAAGAGACAGCGGGAATGAATGTGCACGGGAGGCGATAGGCGAGCGTAAGGTACGTGATGTGCGTGAAGGCGGGCATACAAGTACACGACAACAAGACAGCAAGGCGCGCCGCGAGCAGCGCGGGGATATCGTACATATGTTACAACGGACGGACGGACGGGATGCGGGATATGGACATTTTGTGTGCGCAGCGGACGCGCAAATAGTGGGAGATAGGGATACGGATAGGACTGTAGTGTAGAGCCGCGAGGCAGAGGAGATGCGGGATGGCCGGTTTGGCAGCCGAGAGCGCGGAACAGGTGCCGCGGATGTGCGACGTGATATGGGGGTAAGCGGACGAGGGGATGCGAGGGATGCATGCGAGAGCGACAAGGATGCGACGAGGACGAGGGATATGATGAATAAGTCAGGTGCGGCGTCGTGAGGGTATGTCGTCGTGCGGTATCAGCGTGAGGACAGGGTATGGATGCTGGACGGTCGATGCGAGGCGGGCGGCGTGTGCGATAGCGGATAGCGAATGGTCCTTATGAAAGGGAAGAGGCGACGACGCGGAGCACGCCTAGCACGAGGAGTCCTTGCCGGGGAAGAGGAACAGACGCTTCAACGGCTCGACGATCTCTACCTCTACCTCGACATCGCGCAGCTCGCCGTCGACTATGCGCTGCTCAATGCGCTTCTCCTTCTTCGGTATCCGCAGGATCGGGAACATCATCGTTTCGTCCGAGTAGCTCCACGACCGATCTATAGACAGCAGTTGTCAGCATCGCCAATGCGTGTCACACAGGTAGAATACACGTACTCTGTGGCCTCCGGGCAACAGGCGACGATCGCAGCGTCTCGTCTGCCTCCTCGCGGCTGTCCGCACTCTCCATGCTTGCATCGCTGTTCTGACGACTCAACGGACTGCGCTTGCGCCCAGCACCGTAGTACCCTGTGTAACCAACATAGCTGCTGAGACTTGAGCTCGCCGAGCTGGACACGGTGAGATTGGACGGAATGCGCGTCATCTTCACGTCGGGTACAAGCAGACGACCCTCTGCGCCAGGCTTCACGAGAGAATACTCCTTACGCCGCGACGACGTCGACAGGGGCAACGAACGCGTCGAGCCAGTGGGCGAGGTCGACAACGTCGGCACCGAGCTGCCCATGAGCGACGTGCGCGACTCGGAGCGGCGCGCAAACATCGGGTATTTGTTGTACAACCCCTCCGCTGCCGAGTGAGAGCGAGTGCCCATTGTGGGCGCTCCCGTAGCATGGACGGGGACCGAAGCGGAGGCAGTCTCGAAAGTCGGCGTTGTCGGACTGAGGGTAGAGTACACGCCGCTGCGTGCACGGTGCGAGCTCGCAACAAAGCCCTTGTACGCATCCTTGATGCGCTCCTCGTCAGCCGGCTTGCCCGGCTCAGTAGGGGTGGTGAGGTTGTACACGCTGGCGCGCCATGCATGCGAGCCGTCAGTCCAACCTGCAATGGGCTTGCGCTCGACGCGCTCGGGCGAGCCGTAGATGTCCTTCTTAGGAGGGCCCTGCTCGAGCTGCGCCTTCATGCGGCGCGCGGCCATCATGACGCCCGACGTGTAGTCATCGACGACGGCGACGTCAGAGTTGTTGGTGTCGCGGCGCATGACGGGCGCAGGTGGTGGGGCAGGAGGGAGGTCGGGGTAGAGACGACGGAGAGCGGCGTAACCCGTCGGAAGACGGGCCGAGGGCGAGTCAATGGGCGAAGACGAATTGAGGGATGAGCGCGATTCGAATGACGCGCCGCTGCCCGAGTCGCTCTCGGACACGTCAGACAGGGAGTTATGTGGGGCAGGAGGGATGGTAGGGGAGACACATCGGTCGGGGTTGTAGTTGATGTCGATGGCACCCTGCGAGTGTTGCAAGTCTTTGAGACGGCACTCGTCTGAGCAGTAGAGTGGCACAGGCGATTGGTCGATAACGGTGCGGTGGCGAACAGGGCCGGTGGGGCGCACAAGCGAAGGCTCGAGAGGGGTGGTCTCGGTGGCACGCTTCTTAGGCTCCTTGATCGTAGTGTCGCGCTTGAGCGCGCCGTTGGGTTTCACTCGACCAGTGCCGTGTACGAGGCCGCCGCCACCGCGTGCACGGATGGTGCCAGTCTTGTTGCGGGGAAGACGCGCTGGGGGCACGTCGACCTCGGTTTTTGGGTCTGCAAGAAGGTTAGCGGGGCACGGAGAACATGGGCGGTTGGAGCCCACCTGTGGTAGGAGAGCTCGGAGGGACGGCAGGTGCGTGAGGCTGGGGCTGGATGGGGACATAGTAACGCTTGGGCAGGATCTGCCTGCTGCAGACAGGACACCAAGTGGTGTCGAAGGAGATGTCGTCCATGGTTGTGTGGGGGAGGGTGGACGCGGGGGACCTTATAGTGGGGAAATAGAGTTTGGCGGTCCCAAACGCAAGGGCAGCAGACGAGTGGGACAGTGCGGGGTTGTGCGTTGTGCGGACCGAGGGCGTGGGCGTCGAGGCCAGGCAGCGACGAGGCTGGATGGGACGGGATGAGCACGAGCGGATAGCGCTGGGGAAGAAGGGGGGACGGGACGGGAGGAGGAGGGAGGAAGTGGTAGATTATTTATCGGGGCGAGCATGTCGCGGTGATGATCCCCAGCCATGATCCATTCCGACCCCCGGATTGGCTCTCACTCCTGCCGTCACAGCGACCGTCCTGTGACGCTCCTGTGACATCTCCTGCGAGCGAGGCGCGCATCGCCCGAAGCGGCGTGTGCTCAGGGTCACCGCATTTCCGCCCCGGGCCCTCCCACGCGTCCCACCTCCCGCATCGGGCAGTCCCACCGAAAAACGTCATCCGCATACCATTGGCCCAATAGTCACCGGGTCTCTCGCTCGGCTCCCCGGCCTCCTCCTCAGCGGCCCAATCACCGCTGCCCGCCTTTGCGTTCTGCCCAGCCCAGACCGCCACAGCGCGCGTCCAGAGCGCTCTCTCGCTTGCCGCCTCCCCGCCTGCGATCCCATCTTCCGCTTTCGGCCTCCTCCTTCCAACCCTAATTTCCGGTAGTTTTCCCTTCAATCACCCCGTTATGGCAACCGTCGCGACCTCCTCGCCTGCTCCTCTTACGTCTTCCCTGACAGCCAATGACATTCCCCGACCCCGACCTCTCGGCGTCCATACAGCCCATATTCCCTGGTGCCTCTTCTCATATCCACATCGGTGCACGTATACGCACAGCCCCTGTCAGCCTCTGCGCCCCGCCGCACACCCTATCCGGGGGCGGCCCCGCAGCGCGTCCCCGCCGGGCCGCGCGCCTGTGCCCGTGAGCGAGCGGGATCTCGAGGGATGCGACACTATGCGACGGTTCTTGCGAATATTTTCACTGGTCCAGCCCCGGGCTTTGCCCTGCAAGCGACGCGACTTGGCCTTATGCGGCAGGTCGCATGCGGAGAAGCACATGCCTGCCGTGCCTATCTGCGAGGCCGATCGCGCGCAGAGAATCTGCGATCTCTTTCCCCGCCGCGGTTCTTCCCGACATGCGCCTTCGACGCGTCTATCACTCGCGCGCGCTGATTGGCTTTTGGCCGTGCTGGCCAATGGCGGCACGCGTGCCGATCCGATGCCCCGCCCTGTCTGCCCCGACGGACAGGCATCGAGAGACACAGCACCGACGTCGGTGGCGGAGGTCTGCGTCTCCCTTGGCCCGAACAGACCTTCTTCCTGCCCGCAACGTCGCTACCGTCCGTCCATCTCATCTCCGACTGACGACCGTACGCATGGAACGTCCCACATCCTCCCGTCGCCATGTTCCTCCCCACCGCCCCCGCTGCCATCCCATCCACTGATACCATCCGGCCATTCTTCTTGCGCATCCACGCCCCGTCGTCACATGCCGCGTCCGCAGCACCCACCCGCCGCGCTGACAGTACCAGTACCAGTGGCTCGTCCGACGCCCATCGCAGGCCTCGATCACGGCCCATCCATACCCGAGACCCATGTCTGCGCACCGTCGCCTGCTCCCCATCGCCTGCTGTCGAGATGCCCTGATAGCACCAAACGCCCCGCGCGCCCGTCCTTAGCCCCGCCTCGGCACTTTCCGCGTGCAGACATCTGCACTCGATCAGCTTGCACTTGCGCTACGCGCCGGCGTCACCGGTGCTGTGCTCTAGCCTGCAGCTGGAGGCCACGATGAGTATGTACGTTTGTTCCGCGCTCCTAGGACCACATTCTGTGTCATTGTGCGCACACGCGTCGCGCACGCGGCGATCGGGCCAACGCTAACGATATCCAGCCGCCTCGGGAGCCCTGCGCTGCAGCGTGCCACCACGATCCTCCCTAGCCCGTCGCCCACAATCACAGCGCACCGCGCATCGCGGCCCGCCACGCGTCCTCGCCACGCGTTGTCACAAGCGTTCCGACGTGTTTGGGAGCCTCAGGTTGTGCTGCATCACGGATGGGACGTAACCGCAGGGGATCCCATCACGCTAGCCAATCTCGCAGATGATTGTACGCCTGTGTCCGTTGCACTTAATGACATACAGATAGCCCACTCCCTGCGCACCGTCCGATGGCTCGCATCACGCTCCTGCTCATGTATCCGCGCCCGACACGGACCGCGGGCCTACGAGCCTATGTCCGCACGGGCGTCGTGGGCACCGTATGACCCCGAGCGAGTGTGCGTATGCATCTCGCAGCTAGTTGCGATCTCATCGCATATCGCATCGATCGTGCACGGTACGTGACGATGATCTGCGTGCCTATTGCCCCATCGCAGGATATCCGACGCCATCGCCCGCCCCCGTCCAGCCAGAAGCCCCCGAAATGAAATGATCGTGAGGTGAAATCTGCGTCCGCGGCTGCGCCGGCGGCAAACCGATCCTTGGCCAGAACACAGAACGCATGCGACGGCCCGATCGTATATGCAGCGCAACGATGGCTGCGCGGGCGCACCGTGAGCACACGCATGACTCGTCTGAGCACACCGTGCACGCCTTGAGCCACCCGTCGCATGCCGTCTATTCCGCCTGACCCGTGCTGGCCTGGCAATGCCCCCGCGGGCGTGACAGCACCACGACATGTCGCCATGTCATCCCGCCTCGCGCACACGCACAGACGCGCGGCGAGTCCCCACGGAGCATGCGTGGATGACACATCGACGAGGGCCACGCCGTGGCGACCGGTTTCCCCGCGCGCCGCGGATTGGACGCAGTGCCCACCACCAGGCGTCGTCGCTCGCACCGCGGACGAGGCAGGTGCGCCGGCCAGCGAATGGGGTGCGCGCGGATTCTAATCGCGGTCCCCGGCGCGCACACGCCGGCAGGACGCTCCTCGGCGACACGCGCCGCGCGGGGCATATAGCACCTCGGACGCGGTATTGCCTCGCCGCGGTGCAACTCTGTTCTCTTGCCTAATGGCGCGGTGCTTCGCGCACCCCCTGGGCCCTCGCACGCCCAGTCGGGGAAGCTCTGGCCGTGCGCTGCGGTAACGCCCGCGCGACGGTGTCACGGCCAGCGTGCATCGTCCCGAACATGCGAACGCGAAGTATGCTTACTTACATACGGGCCAGGGCGTCGGCCCGCTTCGCGCAGCCAGGAGGGCCTCGCAAGCCGCGCGCGGGCTCTTCCGCGCTATCTCTGGCGGCGAACAGCTTGTGGCGCGTCGGACGCAAACTCTAAAGCGTATGACATGCATCTTTACATAGGCTGCCATAAGCATCTTGCAGTTCTTCGGACGAGCCTCGCGCGGGCGCAATACTGCTCTGGCAGGCGGGACCGATCCCGGACGCAGCGAGCATATCCGGGAACCCACCGCCACCAAGGATGCCCCCCGTCCGGATGGCCTGGCGTGCTCCGGACCTGGCGCTCCCTGTGCCATCCCCGTCAGTGGGCACGTATCTTATCGCCCGGCTCTTGCCCTCGCGCGCTGCTCCCCGCCGTCGTTTCCGTTGGCTGCAGGATCCCTGCCACGCGCCCGCAGATGTCCGCGGCCAGCGCGAGCAGGCGATGTACGCGAAACACCCTCGGGCGGACAATGCGTCCGGAAGGAAGGAAGGCGACCGCGCTCCGGGCGGGCTCCGACTTGCCATTTGCGGCTCGATGCTGGTGACGGGCCCGCGCGACGCGCGTCACTCTGCTGGGGGGCGTCACCACGCCTGCGGGTCCCTTGCCTTTGCCTTCGTCGTGTCTCAGCACCGCGCGCGGCAACACACAAGACGCACGATGCACGACGCACGAGCCCTCTGCCTCTGTGAGTCGCGCCTGTGTCTGCGATTACGTGGATTCCCTGTGTTCTGGCTGCACGCCCCGTCCGGCGCTCACACGCCGCCGGACGCAAAGCCCCATCCCGCACCCTGCGCCGCGGCGGCGTCGTCACCCGCCCCCTAGTGCGTCCGCGTTCCTCCCAGCCACGCTGCTGGCGACGCTTCGCCGGTGATTGACTGTGGGAACGCCTGGGCGCGGATCGGCTTCGCGCGAGAGGTGCGTATGGGCCTCGCGCGCGCGATTCGTCGAGCGCAGGCCTATGACACAGGAGAAGCCCGCGCCGTGCGGCCCGCGCGCACACGCTGATTGGGTTTAGAGCCCAGTGGAGAGATGGCTCCCAGCGCGTCGCCACGACCACGGTGACGCCAGGGAATACCGGCTGTCATGCGTTCCCAGGGCCGGTATGATGCAGGCTGCGCAGCGGGAGGTGAGTGCCTCGCAGTGTTTCTGCGAAGCACGCGTGCTGCAGCTCTGGGAGGGAGACGCACGTCACGCTTTCGGGCAATGTAGTCGGACGCTGATGATGGTGATGACTGGCCCTGGCCGCAGGACCTCGGCGTTCATCTCGTCTGCTCGGGCGGCCTGAGGGCGAGTGTTCTGCTCTGCAAGTACGAAACTGCCCTAGGTCCTGCGAATGTGCGCGGTCCCGTCCAGCCCAGAGAAGCGGACATCCTTTCCACTTTCCACAATGTTGGGGTTCTGACGCTCCGGGATATGGACTAACGCCGTGTTCAATAGGAGCAATTCCGAACTTTAGGCAGCAATGAACGCGCGTGTGCAGAGCCTGGACGCTCTGCGAATGCGAATGCTGCATTTGTCTTGCTCGTGTTCTATTTGTTAGTCAAAGGTAGTAACGCAATCTATAGAATTGAGGAAGCCTGTATTTGCGCGCAGGCCATTGAGCGGGGGGATTGCTTGCCCATAGGTATGGTACCGCGCAATTGACAGCCTGTCTTCCCGTTTCGCGAACAGGAAGCGACAGCGCTTTGAGCTGTAGAACTGACCAATACGACAGCAGGCGTGCTCGTGCCTACAGTACAAGTTGGACGTGCAAGCCCGAGATGCCGTCTGAGACCTACATGACGCAGTGATGGGGTTGCTACACGGACATGGTGCAAGCCACGAAGACAGTTGATCGTAATACAAGTCCGCGGACTGTTGGCATCTGCCAGAGTGCCTTGATGCGATGCCGAGCTCTGCAGCTAGGCAGAATACGTTGCATCACAGTTTGTACTGGACGCAGCGTGCTTCGCATCGCGCCTGCGCGCGTCACGGTGCCCTGAGGCGTTAGCGCCCCAACGCCGAGGCGCGCGATCGAGGAGGGGCGGGCTTACCTGAGGATGCTGACGATTTCTGTGCGCGCGCTGCACGCGAGATGCCGAGCACCAGGTGGTTTCGATCGTTCCGTATGCGCTCGGACAGAACCACGATGCTGGCGCCGGGGAAGGGCACCGTGACGCCAGCGGACGGCTCGGACACGGGCGGGATCCCTGACTTGACGCGTTGGAGAATCACAGGCATCACCGCAGTTTGTTTCCTTGTATCGCTGGGCGTGATACAGCAGTACATTCATAATCAGCTCCGCGAACCTCGGCAGGGGATTGGGATGCTTCTGAGGTCGCTGGCGTCTACTATTACCTGGTATGCGAACCTCTCAGTTATGTGTGCGGCTTCGTATTGGTATTTGGCCGTGCTCCGGATTGACTTGAGTCCAGCTGGACACCAGTAAGATGGCGATGTGCAGGCATCAACGAATCGATGAGCCCGATGACTCGAGTCAACGAGGATCCGGGGCTCGATATGCTTCCGTGTGCCGCGGACTGCCCCTGAGGCGGTATACCAGCGCGGCCATCTCCGGTGGTGCTCCTCCACGATCACTGACATGATCATGTATCTTGTGGTCCTGACTCTCGGATGGCACAAGGCCGACCTTTAGCAGATTGATAACGCCCTGCACGGATCAAGAGATCGAGCAAAGCCACCGCGCGTGTGTGCCCGGGCGGACCTCTTGCGGAGAGATCTGACAACTGAAAGTGAACGACGGCTGACTGAGATGCCGACAGGCTTAGGCAGCGACTATCAGCAGAGTGGACTGCGAACGATGACTCTGCAGCCGCGATTTATCCGGTGTGTGCGATACCGTCGTGTTAGGTTCAGTAGTTCGTGCGGCACAGCAAAGTTTTCCGGGCCATTGCTGTGCATAGCGCCACTGGCTCTGCCTCGTACGTATCGCCCCTTCAGTTTGAGGTAAGACTTGGGATGAGAATGGCCGAATGATGTAATGAGACGGTGTGACACGGACGACAGTTTTAATGTCGACGCGCGAGACGCATCATGATTGGCCAGAAGATACTTACTCAACAGAAGGCAGGCATAGACATTTGCAACATCCCTCTTACGGCTGATCACTTCGCACAACGAGCACATGGTCCGCAGGACAGCAAGTTCCGTCCCAGCCGGTGAACGTTTCGGAGAGATGCGGACGTTACAGTGATCTGTATATCACGTCGTTATATCTGGGAACACCGAAGCGTTTCATTGAGCGCAAGCAGTATGTTGGGAATACCGGTAAGCTAGAGGCTTCTGTTCCTCCAAGAAATTGAAGAAAAGCAGCGCGACTTCGGCCACAAACTTGGCGATCTCAGTTAGCCTAGCACGATCGAATGATCGGGCGACGGAGAGCAAAGAGCGATCGAGATGGTCCCGGTTTGCTGAGACGCGCCGACTTACAAGTACGTACTCGCTCTGCAGCCGTTTACACTCCCGTGCTGTAACGTCACGTCCAACTTGTGGGTTCATCCCGCCATCACGACCCAAACGTGCGTCGGGCGAGATAAAAATGTCTTTTGACCGAGTCTTCACAAACGCCCAGGGATCCGCCCGACGGACCATGCGGTTTGATTTCATGTTATGCAATGGTGTGCCGTAGCATGACACGTTCTTAGCGACAGCGAACCTATTCGTTCATCTCCGGCGTGAGCCATAAAATTATACGAATAACGTTCAAGGACCTTCGGATCTCAATCCAGAAGCATCGGTGCGCCCATTAGTCGTTTGCCTACTCCTCTTGATCAGTCCGGACTCAGCTTTGTCTCTAAGCGACCACGTGCGCGTAAGGGTTCCTGCTCGGGGCAATACTTACCTCATGGCGCAACGCGACGCCCGCTTATGAATGACAAGACGTCGTAATCTCCTGCGCGCAATGTTTTCGCTTCCGCACATTATGAGAAAACCCCATGTCCCCTGACAGCACATGAGCAAGGAACACATGTTGGGACAGGTGCCCGAATGCAAGATTAAAGCGGCATTGAGCACGCTGCCACTTCCATGAAATGCGATAGACATGACCCTTACGATTCCGCTTTGTTCTCGGGCTAGCTCGCTTCATTCTGGATCTCATGCGCGCTGTGCCTTCCCCTCGCGCTGCCAAGGGCATAGGGCGGTCTGGTCACAGCGCTGAAAATAAGGTGCGTTCAATTTTGCCTGACATCTGACAAGCCAGTTACCAATCCGCCCATGCATCCAGGCGTGCGGGGCGATGTACGTACCACATATCCCTGCTCCGTGTCCAAATGCGCTCTAGCGCGACACGTTTCCCCGCAATCACCTGGACAGCGCGCTGCAGCCGCCGGGCCAGGGCGCGCAATCTCAGGTAGGCATTTCCCTGGCGCCAGCACAATGCCGACGGTCGACTGGCGCTTCAGTCCTGCTCAGGTGCCACACTAAAGCATGATTGCCGTCCTGCACTTGATTGCCTTGGGAAAGACATCGTCAATCCAACAAGGAGGATTGAACAAGGAGGACAGGGGCAACGTGAGCCCCGCCGCTTAGTGAGAACTGAATCCCTTCAGGGAATTCAATTGGCATAGTGCACACTCACATGCTAGTGCGGCGGCGTCTGAACAAGGCAGGTGACATCCCAACATGGTCTCCTCGCAACCGTGAAGAGACATCTATGCAACGTCAGAATTGTGGGTGAAAAACAGTGTCACGCCCTAGGTATACCCGCCTAAGGCCTTCTCTTGCCCGTCGGCGTGATAGAGTGAGACGTTGGGCTTGGCTCCGGCGGTGTTCGCATTGCCAACGCTCGTCGGACGCTTGTGTCTCGGCCTGTCAATGGTCATTCCCGCATCGTCAGCGATACGCTGCCAGGCCGCCTCCGGCAACCAAAAGCGGCGATAGCGTGGAGCCAGCCTTACGTCTGGCAGGCTTAGCTATCAAAGGTGGAGGCAGCTGGCCGTCGACCACATCTGGCAGCGCCACCGACTGTCTTTGGCATGTCGAAGCCGCGAAGAATTGCGATTGTACAGGTGAGTATTCGCCGAGCTATAACGGCACCGCTTGTCCCATGAATGTCGCTTCTCTGCCGGCAGTAAAGCCAAGTCGTCCGGCTACATACACCGCGGTGATTGAACGGTCGGCCATACTTTGACTACGTTACAGACACGATAGTCTTCTTACACTCATTTTAGTGTGAAAACAGGTGACATGACGTAGGTCGAACGCCTCACAAGGTCGCGTGCTATCGCCGCAATGCGGAGGAAGCACTTCAGGTATCCACCACCGCTATGGTCTGATCAACACAAGCTTTCGAATGTACGTACACCGAGGAGGCAACGCTCTTCGCGTGATGGGTGGACGTACCTTGGTTGACATTGCTCCACGCGTCTCTCATTCATGCCCAAGTGGGGTCAGAGTCGAGACCTGCCTGCTCAATCTCGTTGGACTGAATACAGGAAGCCTGCTCTCATTAGTAATGGTCAGTGTTACAATGCGCAGAAGAAGTGCCATGGGGGCAATAGACATCTGCACGCGTCGATCTTAGAGGAAAGAGTAGTTTGGTGGTACACTATCAGCGAACGTAATGATACACGAGACAGACCCACAGCAATATACACAAGAAGAGGAAATCACAGCACCATCAATGTAAAGCCGCGGCGACGAGTTCCAAAATGTCTTCTGTACTCTTGCCCACGTTCTTCATGGCCTTCGCTATTGACTGCCAAGTCATTCCGTGGTGCGGCTCCGCAGCGATACACTTCTTGACCACTTCCACCTGTTGTTCCTAGACATGGATGTCAGTCCTCTTGTTGCAGTAAGGCGAATACTCGTAGACGTCAACTTACTGAAACACCATGCTGCCTCTCGAATTTGAGCCACCATGCCCAATTATCACCTAGGTCAGGGTTCGCGGCGATCGCACGCTCGAACCATTGGCGTGCCTTCTCAATCTTGCGCTCTGTCCAGAACAGCCGAGCGACGGTGCACAGGATCAGCGGGTCATCCGCGGACTTCCGCAATGCGTCCGCAGAACGGGACTTTCGCGTGGGTCTTGGCTCGGCCCATATGGTCATGGACCAGAGCAAGCCTGATGTCGAGCATTCTTGCAGACCTGTACCATGAATTAGCCGAAAGCATAACTGGGCGTACATGCGTTTCAACATACCTCGAGCCAACACGGTCTTCGCCTGGGCAGCACCTCCGCTACGCTCTTCCACGCCGACCGCTTCCGCCCATAGGACATCACTGCCAGAGTTAGCGAGTCGCGCCTTATCAAGAAGCGCCCGGGCTTTGATGCTCCTTCCATCAGCCTCTTCCAATCTGCTTGCGAGGATCCAAAGGGTGACATCCTTCGGACATTGTTTGATACCCGCTGCATACGATGCACGGGCGGCGGAGTACTCCTTTCGGTCTTGGTGGATCTGACCCTGTATCATGTATAACTTCGCAAACTTGGGGTACTTTCTGATAGCGGTAGCGAGTGTTTCCAGTGCCATGTCGATCTGGCCCTGCTGTCGCTCGAAGACAGCCGACTTCATCCAAATCTACCGACCGTGATTGGTGAGCTAAATACAAGTAATTGGACATCAACGAAGGGCTTACCCTTTGTGTATCTGCGACTGTTCGCGCACGAACTAGAAGCTCGCGCGCAACACCCAGCTCGCCGTTCTCGGCCTCTATCTTGACAGCGGCAAGCCAAATCTGCTCGCTTTCGGGGTTCGCGACGAACGCCCGCTCGAGCACTTCACGCGCTGCAGGGACATCTCCCGCAAGCCATTTCTCTTTGGCCCACATGAGCCAGAGAACCTCCGCCTGGGGACAGTGGTGCACAGCACGCTCGAGAATAGAGCTGAGCGAATCTCTGTCGGGAAGGTAATCAGTGCTGGGCAGAGAACATAGTCGTCCGAAGGGCATACCTTGTCCCATGAGCCTTCTCCAAGTCGGCAGCCTTTCGCCACAACGTCCGCTTATCTGGGAAGACCTTGAGCGCATAAGCGAGAATTGCCCTCGCCGTGCCGACGTTGCTCCTCGACTCGGCACTTTCTGAATCGCTCATCCATGTGTCCAGCCTGTCCTCCTCTTCCACATCCATTGCGACCGTCGCCTTGATGATTGCCTCGCACGTCCTCGGCGAACCCTCGTTCTCGCAGCGCTCTGCCTCCTTCAGCCACTGCTCGCGCGTCAGGAGCACCTGGTGGTGACGCAGCTGGCGCACACCGGCCTCGATGGTCTTGTCCACCACCTCCAACTCCTTGTCGCGCTCCTCGTTAGACTTGCCAGGTACGTGCGCTTCTTGCTCCAGGAGTCGGCCAGCGGCAATCCAGATCTCGTGGCTCGTAGGTACTGCCTTGCGCGCCTTATTGAGGACGGCCTTCGCCTTCTCAGGTGTCTCCAGTCGCGCGAGGGCTAGCCAAAGTTCGACGGAAAGCGGGATAACCTCGACTGCACGGGAAAGGAGGATGCGAGCATCGACTGGGGAGGACTCGAGGTTTACCGTCTCCTTCCATAGTCGGACAGAGTTCGGGATGTGTTCAAGAGCTACCAGAGGTATTAGGATCGCAAGCGCGTGAGGAATCGTATGAGCATACCTTTCCGGAGAACCCGCTTCTTGGCCTTAATGTCGTGCTCTAAGTCGGCAGCAGCAAGCCAGATCTTGACACTTTGTCCCACATGTTGGACAGCATTTGCCAGTATGACTTTCGCATCGTCGTTGCTCTACGGTGTGTAATGTTAGTGCGACGGAGATAAGACAACTTGGGATAACATACGTGCAAACGGGCTGCCTCGAGCCATACATCCTCGCTCTTAGGGCATTGCTCGCACCCTGCCTTAATCAGCTTCCGCGCTGCGACCATTCGTCCCGCGTGTTCCTCCAGACAGGCTGCTGCTATCCAGCCTGGTGAATGCTTCGGGTTTGACTTGACGAGAGAGTCGAATAACATTCGCGCCCTCTTGATGTCACCAATTTCGGCATCCGTCTTGAGGACAACACTGTCGAGGGATGTAAGATATCCCTTGGGGTCTATCGAGGTCGAGAGACCCGATGATGTAGAGGTCCCAGAAACCTGACACACCGGTCATCCACTAGGCTATACAGAATAAAAAGGAATTGGGACATACCTGATCCAACTTTAAGGACAAGATCTTGTCACGGGCTTGTCCCATCTCGACGAAATTCGTCAGCGTCCCGCTATCTGCGGGTGTCTCAAAGCCACCAGCCTTGTACAAACAGTCGTTAACGTGCAGTCCGTATTGAGCATGATACATCGCCTACCGCTTGTTGTCGCCCGTCCAACGAGTTCTCGTACTCGGCCTTGGACCTGTCTCCGACAATGATGCTGTCGGGCACAACGAATGACCTCTCGTCCCTTTTACGCTTTTTCCTGGTGAGATTGCCCACCTCAGGGATGTTCTCCCATTCTTCATCTGTCACCACCGCAAGACCACGCTTCAGGTCGGCAAACTGCTGCTGAATCTTCGGGCGCTCAGCACGATGCTTCGCGAGCTCTGCATTCTCGAGGGCTTCTCTGTAGTGGCGCGAATCCAAACAAATGGAACTGAGCATAAGTGGATTCGACGAAGAAAGGACACGCACCTTCTAGCTCTCCTCCTTGCGTCCATGTTCTGGTCCACTTGCTCATATATGTTGTCCGCCTCCTCGTCGTCAGCCTCATATGTGGTTCCGGCGAAGAGGCCATATTCATTGTCCGGGTCTTGGAACTGTTCAGGATCGATTTCGGGCTCTTCGCCTCGCCTTGCTTGCGCCTCGCTAGATAACAATATCAGCCTCAAGAGCATTTGCCTGCTCAATGAATACATACGCGATGACCTCTGCAGACGGACCCTCTCGAGCTGGTCCAATGTCCGAACGAGTGGTGAAACCAGATGCACTGAATAACCGTCAGTAACGAATATACTAGGATACTGAGGATGTAGAGCTTACCCTCGCCCAAGACCAGCTACATAGGAGGCCGGTGCTGGCATAGACAGAAAGGCGAGCTTATTGGTCTTATTAGCGGCCATTGTGGAGGTCGGCGATGTGAGGGACAGTGAGAAGGGATTAACGGTGTTGACGCGCTTGAGTCGCAGTGTGGTGCAGTGGTGCAGTCAGCAATCTGTTAGTACAGAAGATAAAATTACATAAGAGTGAAAGAAGAGTAGTGAATCCGCATAACTATTATTTTAAGGCCTAATGTGGAAGAGAGATTGAATTAAAATCGAAATTATGCAATTATGTAATCAATCTTATTTCAATCTTTCATTCATTATAGGCATTAAGATACTAATCAGATCAATTCACTTCCCTTTCAATCTTTTGGTACTGACCAAAGATTCATCATTGCATGCAGTCATGCAGTGGCCCGCTAAGCTCAGATAGGAGCGAAACTTCCAATACGCCACTAACAAACATACAGTCTAGGCACATCCGCCACGCTTTCCCACAGTAAGCGAATTCTTATAGTCTTCGGCATTACCTCGCTTTTACTTGCTACTGGATAGGCCGTCTCTGCTTTCTTTCCGCTCAGCATTGTCCGCCACCTTCAGCTATGTCCAGTGTCTCGCCACCACCATTGAACAGCGGGTACGCCTCTCCAGCTCCAACGTTGATCAGTCCACCAGCCCCCAAGCCCAGCACACACCCCAAGCCTAAGCCTGCTAACGTCTTTTCTAACGACGGCTCCTTCCTTGAGCGTTTCCAGCGAATCAAGAAGGTAGGCTTTGCCGTCCCTGACACATGAGGTCATTGATACGATCTGTCGAGCGTATAGGATGAGGAAGAAAAGAAGAAGGAGGAAGAGGTCCTCGCTAGGTGCGGTCGGCCTATATTACGGTGGCCTCTACTTTATCTTATACCCATGTTATGCACAGGAAACGGAATTTTGACGAGCGGTTTGTGAGTTCGATCTAAGACGCATATGTTTCGATACTGATAGTCGTACAGAAGAAAAGGGGCAAGCGCCCTCTTCCTGATGCTGTCAACCCTAATGCTGTCCCAGAGCCCTCTGCAAAGAAGGCGAAGGTTGACATGCCCTTGTGTAAGTTGTTCTTGCAGATATTCCCGGTCTTACTTATGGCTTGCCTCAGCTCAATATGAGAAGGAAGTCAAGAGTTATACCAGTAGCTTGAAGGACGATGGGATTGGTGTGCGACCCCTAGTCAAGTGAAGCACTTAAAGATTATACGATAAGCTATAATGTGCGTTACATCGCTGAGCTCGTTATCTTCTAGATCGCCCTGATCCCTTAGTATTGCTTTTGCAGGTAGTATCTTTTGCTCAGCGTGCGTGCCTCAGTAGACGCATTTGTACCATCATACATCGCAACCCTTCGCCTCAATTGCATTTACCTCATTGTTTGCTCTGCAACTGCTGGCATCAGGCCGAACACTATAAGTATAATTGCCACTTTCGCAAGCATGCCCAGCGTCGAGTTTGAACGCTGAGCACAGGCCTCGCCCCTTCACTTTCATTTGTGGCGCGGCTTTGCGATGTGGCTTCACAATGCGTTCGTAATAACATGTGTCAGCGCGGATGTCTAGCATAGCCTCGGTTGTGCGGGCTCAATGCTGCCATTATTACACTATCTATGCATGGTGCATTCGTCGTCCGACTGTTGAACTCGGAACCTAGAGTATCGGATTGATATTATAGCCCCGAAAGAGGGCTGAGATTCGCATGGTGAGCCTCGATATGCGGTCTATCTATAATTATGCCCATTCAGCCGAACACTGGTAGACTTCTGCTACCACAGTCACCTGCTGAGGCGAAATAAGTGCCGCACTGTTGGGTCCGCCGGTGACTGATATTCATTTATCCGGTAAGGTCTCCTGTCTCATAGGGAATCGAGTTGTATTCACGGCATGCCTGTGACTGATCCCCGCAGCCGTCGAATATCTCTACAGTCTATTGCTCAGAAAAGTCGACTGGAGGCCGTACTCGTTTCACCAATTGCGGTCCGCGGTCCGCCCTTCTCCATGCGTATGTTACATCAACTGTCGAACGGTTGGAAATCTTGTTTTTGGATATTCTAAATTTAGTATATTCTGCTACAGGAGGTATTAGTTTTTCAGTCCTCGTGTCAGACCAGAAATGAAGGGCCTTGCGATTTCCTTGCGATAGCACATCCCCATGGAGGTGGAGGTGGAGGTGAACGCCGTTGTCGGTAACCTGAAGAAGTGGAAGTCAGGAGGCAGAAGTCATTGAGTCTTCGGACACGCCAATCCTGGTGGGCCAATGCCACCGGGAACTTTCGATGGAAGATGGTGTACGTGCCCACACTCAGGAAAGGAACGAGCATGAAGGCATGCCTATGCAGTACGCATTCTTGAGCCACTCTAGTGAAGCATGCGAACTGGAGTGATTTAAGGGCAAACCGGGCGGATCATACGGCTTGGCACGAGCATACCTACCAGAGGCGCATATCGCGACTGCCACTGCTCGGACGTCTGGCCGTTCCAACGCGCGTGGTCCCAAATGACAAGAGTTGTCGTCGAGACAGCTATAGAAGCAAGGCGGAGACAGTGCGGCTGTTTACTAGTCACAGGGCGGAACAGTCATCTGCTATAGTGTCTTCCAAGCAGATCGCGGCGTTTCCTGCACCGCCGCCTCGCCTGTGGTTATGAATCTGGCATGTCCTGCGTCTCCGCTTGAACCCACTGCAATCGTGCAGCGCTCAGAATACCAGCTTCAATGCGTAGATCGTAGAATACAACCTCATTCCGTATAATCAAGGGGATTTCTTCCCCATACATTGAAAGTAAGAGTAGGCAAGCTTGACAGTCGTGCTGAATCTAGCTACTAATACTGTAGCGTTGAAAAGGACTTGTTGCAGGTTGTGCGTCGCGGTTGTCACGGTGCACGTGAGAAGGCTGTCACGCGTATCCGACGCGAGTGTGACCGCTCGAGCCTTCTTGCATGCATACCGCGCGCCCACGAAATCTCGTACGACAGTAAACAGACGGTACGCCCATGGAAGATGACGAAGTGGTTGAAACATCCGACTATGAAGAAATTGAGGCAATCGAGGCGCAGGATCCGAACTACTGGACCAGTCTGCCACCACCGCAGGAGACTGATATTGGAAGATCAGGCGAAGAAGCTCGGACGCAAGGATCTCTGAAGCCTGTGGCGCATATTTTAGAAAGGCATATTGCAGATGAACTGCTGCTAGGAGGGGTGCTACACGAGCCTCCCCGAAAACGGTTGAAGGTGGGTATCTCTAACTACCACGTCCAGGATGCTAACGGGCAGCTCCTGGCAGACAACTCACTATCATGGATACAGTCATGCATATGCATCTCTTCCATCTACCCCAATTCGGGCACCGCAAATGAGGGCCAGCGATTTCAACGCAAACTCCGCACCCTCTTCGCCAAAGCCACGGCGCTGGCCACGTCCGTCGCGCCTGAATGGCGAGGCGTCATTGCAAACAGGCACTCCGCAGAACCACCTTCAAGGAAACTGTTTTGCCGGGCTTGGTGCATCTGACGTCTCACCGAGCGGTGACGACGCCCGTGCGGTCTCCCAAGAGACACTCTTTCTGGCATCCTCGTTTGACCTCGATGTACCCCATCGCCACCATCATAATCCCCAAGTTACGTCTTCAGTAGGTCGCAACGATCCCGCTGATCCACGGATATCACCCTCTTCTTCCCCCGACCCACTATCTCTATTCACCCCTACAAGACGCGACCAGGCGCAGCGATTACTGTCTCTGGGAGTGGCGGGGTCAGGTCAGTTATTTCTCAGCGGAGGAAGCGAGCGGTCTCCATCTCCCTTGACACCAGTCCCCTCACCCGGTCGAAACGCGGAGTCTTCTCAGCCTCTTGTGTCACCTCGCTTGGCGCTGCAAAGTTCTCAAGTTCCAACACACGTCGAAATCACGCTGGCGCAAGAATCGGCCCAGACGGAGGGCCGCTACTCTCTTCGTGCTCGTCAAGCTCGACAAAAGAATCCTTATGCATATGATAAGGCCCTTTATAAGCGTCAGATGCGTGCTAACCCCGATGCAATTGTCAAAATGGTTAGCCCACAGCGGGCAAGACGACATCACAGATCGAAAAGCAGAGGGGAGGTGTCCGGTAGTGATAGGGATACGGAAGACGAGTACGTGGCCGAGGATGACTCGGACCAACATGTTCAGGCCGAGGGTTCCAAGCACCCGAGGTTCAAGGGGAAATCGCATAGTGTCCGTGTAGACACTGCGATTGGAGTGTCGAATTTCTCTCCTCCACGACATCCCCACGGATCAATGCGGCATACACTCGCGGCGGATGGTACGCGACCTGAAGTGTGGTACCCGGACGCCTTCAACGAGACGTTCAGTAGTAGCAGTGGAGATGAAGAAGACCTTATAGCACTCTTACCTGTGTCGATGAAGGCGAAAAAACAGCAAAGAGCGGCGAAAAAGCCGCGCAAGATCAGGCCGTTCCCCATGAAGAGACAAAACGTGACCCCACATTCCTCAGAAGGTCAACACATCTCTCCAGTTCAGTCATTCTTCCTTGAACTTTGGCGTTCGAAAACTTACCACTTCAATCTTCGTATAGCTACGTGCGTTGACTGAGGCTCCCGCTGCAAGTGACCCATTAATGGAAGACAATGAAATCATGCACCCTAGACGGCGCCGGCGATCGACCTCCACAATTCCTTCGGTTGCGTCTATGCCCAGCTCCCCTACCTCCCGCCACGCAATCTCACCTCTACGGGAGACTCGACATGATTCTATTCCGCCTTCGGGGAGCCCAGAACCACCCCCTCCCTCATCGACACCCATCGACTTTGGCCTCCTTACTCCCACCTTTGATCATAATCTGTCACAGAGTCCCTCTGAACCTGAGGTAGACATTTCTGTCGAGCTAGAACGCTCGCATCGACAGGGTTCCAGTGAGAGCAGTGCAGAGTCTTCCGTCGAGCTCATGTCGGCTAAGGATCGCCGGCGGCTCAAGGCCTTACAAAAGATGATGCCCCGAGTCCTTATCGAACGACATCTCCACAATGCCAGCGCACCGCGTCATGGCAACGCCACCGGTGGCCATGACTATGACAGTGACGAAGGTGGTCCGTTGCGGCCTGGACAGTCGAGAATCCGCATTCGTAGCCCAACGAGTAGGATGGCCATCGAAGTTCGAGGAGATTCGGAAAGCTCTGATTCAGAGGTATTAGAACAGAATTTCAATTCTACTTCCTCCGAGTCAGAGATGGACGTGGTGGTTCCCCGCCTGGGGAAATCTCCCACGAAAACATCCTCTAGAGCAGAGGCAGAGGATGAGGGCGGAGACGACAGCATAGTCGACGAAACTGATATTGGTCATTGGGCATCAGGGAGAGTCATTCCTTCACGCCACCTCGCTCACGACGAAGTTAGAGAAGGTGATCTCATAGATCGCATGTTGTCCCGTACCAGAGTTACGGGCGGTAAAGCCCGTCGAAGCCGACAGCACCGCAGGGTGCGGAGAACAGCTGTGAGTTCTGCCATGCATATAGTCACCGCTGGCGCAAGAAAAAGGGGGACTGGTCACCAAACCACTTTGTCCTTCCCGGCGCCAGGCTCTCAAGAGTGTTCCAGACCGGCCGTCTCTGGTATGTGACGTTTCCTTGATGATACGCAGTTGTTCTCTAGCTCACAGGCACTCAGGTGAAGGGCATGCCGACGACAGGCAAGAGGGATCCACAGCACAAGTGGTCAAGGCGCGCGCGCGCAAGAAGCAGCGAAATCCAACCGGATTATTTGTCTTTGCTTCTGGCGGTCGTCTTGCTACTGGGAGGACACACGACCATCCAATCACGATAGATACTGAAGTTGATGATATGGCCAAAACTCATCGAAACGGCCTGCGCACTACTAGTATGGCTAGTCACCATTCCAGGTCCCGTGTAAAGCCGCTTACTGATGGTGCAACCTCTGCCGCCGAAGCGACTTTGGACGACTATTGGCCTATCATTGCCGATATGCATCAAGCGCCTCATGCAGATGCTCCCAGCGCTCGTCGAGATGGCTATTTCGAGTCACACCGTATCACACTCGATTTCGAGATACCTCTAGTGCCACCAGGGATCACCTTTGGCCCAGACAGCTATCTTGGTCGCGGTTGTCTCCACGAACTGGCCATGCTCATAACAGATCACAATAATCTCACATGTCCCCGTGCTGTTTCCTATTCCGACGCCCATTTCCAACCGAGTATGTCCGTCCAAGCGTTCTTGGCGTCACTGCAAAGATTGTACGACAATGCACACGACATTATAGTGCAGAAAAGGGACCTTGCTCTGGAGGATCTCCGCCAGTGGCAGGAGTCATTACACTCTGCAGCGCAACATATATCATGGCTTCTCGGACGATCCTCTGAAACCGACAGAACTTCATTTAGCGACTCATTGGACGCTCACCTCGACAACGTCCGTTCTTTCTTAGACGCACCTATCGACATCATACCGGAAGATGAACCACCGCATCTCCTGATGCTTGAGCTGCGCTGGTTCTCGGCAGAAGCTGTCTTCCGGGTTACGTGCTTCAAAAAGCACGAATCTAGGCGGTCAGATCTCAAAGTACTACTGCAACGCCTACAAGACTTGGTTCGCGACCTCGTGGGATGTGGCTTCTCAGATCTATTACAGCCTTTCACTGGAGACCACGACAAGGACGAGATGAGCGATTATATCGCTCGTAGGATCGCCGAATTCTGGATATGTATCATTCATATCACGGACGCGGAGAGATTGGCTGACCTTGTCAGCGAAGACCCCTCAGAACTCACATCATTCTGGTCGGTGGTACTCCAAGGTGTTCGGGACGCGGGACTTTTGCGCAACACCCCCCCAGATATCGTTGCCAGCGAGACAATCTGGAAGGCCGTTTTCACGCTGTGTAGTCTATCGCAATGCTCGATGCAGGGAGTTTTCATGACGGCCCCTCGTTTGCAAGCTTCATGGGACGTCGTTACTACCGCTTTGGATCGGGTTCGTTTATCAGCAGATCCTGCATCAGATGCAAATTTACCCAAACGAAGCTTACACAAACGCGATGAATATATCCGGATACTGGTGTCACGATGCCTCATACTTTGTCTCAAATGGCGATGGTCCCTGGGTGATGCTTCGGCGCTGTTCAGCCGTCTGCTCGAGATCTTTAAGAGTCGCCGTTTTGCTAACTTATCGGACGAACCTCCAGACTTCCCCAGCTTTCTCCGCCATAATAACCTCCAACTACTCTCAGAAAACAAACGCAGTGATACTGCATTCACCCTGCTGCTGAAGCTTGTTGTCAATGCTGCGAGAGACAACCGCTATGCGAATGAAAGCGATCACCGACAAAGTATATCCCCCAAAGTCAAGAAGCTATTGTCTCTCTGTGTCCCCGTCGGGTCTGTTCCTTTCACCAAGATTAGCCCTCCTACTCTTCAGGACCTCTCCTTGTTATACAATCGCTTTAGTGCAGTCGCGATTGCTATCCTTCTCGAGCCCTCGGCGGCAAACCTCAAATTCCGAATCTCCAATGCTCGTCGATATGTCAATTTCAGGGAAACGGATCATGAAACACGTCGGGCCTGTATTCGCGGCCTCATGCATTTAACAACATTGGTGCAGCACCTTCAGCTACCGTTGAACGAGCTGCTAGATTGGCTGGCGGATCTGACAAACATACTCTTGGACGAATATCAACACGAGAAAGTGGCCGGGAATGCTACAAGCTGGGTAGTTGTCTCTATACAGATGTTGCTCGGATGCGTCCGCCGAATCATCGAGACCCCTTTGATGGATCCCACCAAGAACAACACGCGGTATCCGGAACCGGCGTTCTTAGAGGGACGTAAGTGACAGCTTCTACATGTCATTCTACTTCTGTGCAAACTCACGTACCGCAATCAGCATGGGTGACCAGAATATTCTCTGCACAAAGCAATCTGACTGCAGTTGCGACCACAAGGACGGAGATTCGTAAACTTGTACAGGCCTTCTTAAACGTCAGGGCGACAGTCATTCCGAAGCCGCCTCGCCCGCGCCCTGCCTCCGAGGAGAGTCAAGAAAGCCAAGAGGACTATGGTGACTTCGACTTGAACCTCGACGATCCTGAGTTACTTGCCGCACTTGGTGACCCAAGCCAATCCATCGCAGCCCAGGAGAATAAGACCAAGGACAAGGCCGTGGCGGAGGTGAGTTCAGTTGTCCGCATGGAGAACATCCGCTATACACAGGGACCCCACAGATCATCGACAAACATATATCTCCTGCTATCTACCGTTTGGTTTGTACGCATTTCAACGAGTCCGGAGCCAATACTGGCTTTGAGACATTTAGTCAAGACGCGGATGCTTGGGTCGAATGCTGGGTTGGCTGTGCGAGTGTAATCGTTCAGAATAGCCGAAGGGTATGTCCTGCCATCAGACGTCACCACGACTGCTCATTTCCTTGGGATTTCCTAGGATTGGTCTTTATACCTTACTCTCGGCCCGCAGTCATGGGAACGCATTATCGACTCTTCTTGGCGTCGTAGAGTGGGCCTGCGATTTATGCTCTCTGTTCTTCAGCTTGATCCTTCTGCGTATTCAGTAAGTCTTACCCGAAAAGAACGTAACGACGCTCACTTCTCTACCATAGTCATACAAAGAACGCTTCATCGATGTACTCCTTGAGTCGATCGTAACAGCTAAAGTGACCATCGAGCACGAGTATTTGTCTCTGCTGTGGTCTATTGATGGATTGCGCCATCCTCTCTTCCGCGGCATGCCTTGCGAGGTACCAGCTGACACGACTGACTATAATATCTCCAGGAGAGAGTTCCTAGAGAACCGCTTAGCGTTCGTTGAAAGTAAAGTTTTTTTGACAGATCGCGCTAGGTTTGTGCTGATGTTTCTCTGTAGGAATGTTTGGCAACATCGCAGATCTCCTCCGTCGAGAGCTCGAGGGCGAACCAAACCTGATAACGCAAAACCAGCCCTGTGTGGAGTTCATCGTGACCATGTTTTCGACGATGAAAAATATACTCCAGGTGCGCTATGGTGGCTTCGATTATCCCCCGTGCTTACATTGCTATAGCAGATAGATCTGGGCTCTGATGAGTATTCACGGTACACTGCCTTCTGTCGCAAGATCTATACATGCTTATCTCAGTTCGGAACTCTACTCAACAACTCTCGTCTTCGTATAATAGTACAATGGGTGACTGAACTAGCATAATATCGGAACATTCTTTGTGTTGCACATCTCACTTGTCATATACTTATTACTCACTCATCGTCTTTGCTACCACTCTGTAAGCCTTGTACAATGTCTCTCATACTCGCTCTCCCCCGCACATATCTTCAATCTTGTAGCATTACACGTTATAGTACGCATGCATTCTATACCAGCAATCATTGCCCGAATGAAGGGAACCAACAGTGCAGATGGACGAACATGTCCAATACCACGCCATAACACTGCTTAGCAGAGGAACTTGGCATTTTAATCTGACTTTGCATCCACTTCAGGGCATCATCCTATGCCGGATAATGTGCATGTATTGTAGGCGTGCTTCGGACGATCTGAGTCTATCTAGTAGTATGGAGAGCATTTTGCGCTGTCCGGTGCACGCTACATAGATACCCCAGCATCTCATCTCGCCATTGCCTCTCTGTCCAAGCATTCTCATGCAGAGCTCCTCGGATAACCACTCGACGCTTCACGGACAGACCGTCGTCACGAGAACCCTTCTGGTCGGTCTCGCTGGCGTCATAAAGCTCCGCGCCCATGGACATCGGCACGACCTCGTCTTTCTCGCTTAGCAGCATGAGCATATTCGCAGAGAGCCGTGCAAGCAGCGCGTCTAGTCGATCTTTCGTCGAGCGCATTGCGGCCACCGCATCCCATTTATCGAATGCCATTGGGGCAAGGTATCGGTATGGCATCCAACGCTGCGGGTACAGTGCGCGCACCATGTCTGGGATTGAGGAGAACGGGTTCTCAAGGATCATTCCCCTGACGGTGGGGTAATTTGCGCTGTTCAGCTGTGCAGCGAGGCAGACTGCGATAGAGCCGCCGAGAGAATGTCCGTAGAGAACGATGGAGGAGTGAGGGTAGCGGCTAGCCGCATACGAGAGGACGTGTGCGTAATCTGCAAGAAGCCCACGCTGCGTAGGTGTACGCGAAGAGGATTTCCAAAAGGATCGCGGTGCGACGGCTATTACAGCCATATTGAGCTTTTCTTTAGGCTCTATTGGCTCCAGCCTACCAAGTGCCTTCGCTGAGAGGAGCCGCTCGAAAACGGGAATACGAGCCAAGGGATTACTTGCATTGCCTATCATTGGTACAGCGAAAGGCGGTCTGTTCGCAGTGTCATAGGAGACTATGCAAAACACACCTTGCAAATACACAATCACTACATCAGGCTCGCGGCAGCTTGTATTGACATCCTCGTTCTGCAAGACGAGCCCATATAACATGGTGCGTTTCTCACTCTGTAGACTTATTTCCTCACACTGCACGCCTTTTGGTATCGGAACGTCAACCCGTAGTTGTTCTTTTCTTGCTCCAGGCGGCACATACCCTGTAATGTGTGATCTGGTCAGGAGGGTGTTTGTATTCTCAAGTAGCACTAACCCATGTAGATGATTTTCCTTTGAAAGAGAACCATCATAAGGCACTTTACGCCGCTGTCAGTGACATTCGTGCTGTGTTGAGCGCTGAGAGACTGACCTTGTATGACCACAGTGCAATCGGAAGCCCGAGAACCGTTACAACAGCGAGCCATGCAGATGGCGGATCAGGGGAGGGCTGCAGAGACAACATTGCACCAGACCAAAGAACAGATGACGGCCATGTTGCTAAAGGATCGAGAAAGGACCTTCCACAGGAGCGGCCACGCTGCTGCATACATGAGGCCGCAGACGAGGCGGGCGTACGGCCGTGTTGACATCTCGCTATATGATGCAGCTCGGGACGTTCTCCGGCCAAAGTTGGTGGAACTGGCGTCAAGTTTTTCGAGATAGGCTCTCGGTGAGCACGGTAGAGTCTTAAGCCCCTTGCAAGCGGCCCTTTCATCATCATGCGATCTGCAAAGTCATGAGTTGTAGAATATAGAAGATTCAAGTGTAAATTTGGCCCACCCAAATGGCGTTAGTTCAATTTACGACGTCGTACTGTTGTCTAGACGCACTGATATCCCTGGTAGTAAATTTCATCACGGAACAAGTCGTGCTTTGCATACACACATACAACGGCGCCTAATAATATCACAATTGCCCGACTAGTGTGACTATAAACAAGTTCAATGCAATGAGTTGAACTTGAAGTCATTTGTCCATTGAATGGCAGCAAGTGGCAGTTCACTCCGAGAGTCGATAAGCGCTCGTCGCTCCGTGAACAAACTTAGGCTTCGGCAGTCACAACCACCACATCGACCGCAGTTTACTGTCTGTATACTGGTGTCACCAGCATGCATTATATTTCTTGTGTGCTTGCTCAAAGTAATAAATGACAATAATATTAAGAGCCTGCACGCCTAGTTATGGGCTTGATCTCCAGAGAACAACGCCTCTTCCTCTTGACTTTCAAGACACGGCAGCCGAGGTACAACGTCTTTTGGCTTGTCACCATTAGCAAATCGTCTTCTAAACTCGGCAGCGAGCTTGCGACTGCGAGCCATATCCATCGCAACGTCGCCGTCCTCGTTGCTGATGTCTTCGGACGGCAGTCGACCTACAGTATGCCCAACACCCGATTGCGACCGACATATAGAATTCCTCGTTGTAGGCGACGTTTGTGATAGCACCGACACTAAGGCTTTATGGCTCACGCTCGAACTTCTACCTGGCCGCTGAGAAAACAGACGAGACTGACGCCGCTCAAGCTTAGCTGTAAATTGAGCCGTAACTAAGTCCGGCCTCGCTTGTGAAAGCTTCTCGGAAATCTTTAGCCTTTCGAGCTGAGTTGTTTGCCGTTGCTGTCGCTTGTAGTCTTCGGCAGTTGACTTGATCTGCGACAAAGAGGGTGTGATGTTCGCGCACTCTGAGATCATGTCGAGTGATTTCCTGCTTGCTGCGGGACTACTGGAAAGCGATGAAGAGGATAATCGTTCATGCCCCTTTGATTGTTCACTCTGCTGAGGAGCCGATGTCCTCGCTGCTTCCTGAATGTTCTCACTCAGCTTATGAGGCTTAACGTTATGGTCACGCTGCTGCTCCTCAGTACCTCGGGAGGCGGCTGTAGCAGGCTCTAGGGTATAATTGCACATGTCGACAAGTGGTGTTGTGTGGGCATGGATATCGCCTTGCATCCGTGTTCGACAGACATTGTGTCCACGCGATTGAACGAGGCTTGATGGGTGGTCGCTGGAATGCTGATGAGGAAGCGACGGCGAATAGGTGCGTTTCAAGCTGGCATTCGGAGTTGGGAGGTATGGTCGCTTGCGCTTCCGCACAGCGCTGCCGTCATCCGCTGCTGAGGAGCCATGTCCAACGCGAGAAGGCAAAGGGCAATCTAAAGTGTTAGACCTGGGCGAGCAACTTTCATGCTGCGAAGTTGACAAACGATGTTCATGTCTTCCATTTGGTGTCGGTGAAGACGGGGGAGACAGGATGGTGACGTCCATCGACATATGCTTCGAGCAATGTTTAGGCGGCAACACCTTCGATCCTGGTCTCGTTCGCGCTGCACTACTTGACGGTGAGACCACAGGGCTAGACTTCAGCGGCGAAGAACTCTTCTCGAAGAAAGCCATGGATAGATGTTCTGGAAACTGTGATTGCTCCGCGAAGAGGAAGTGCGCCGTCCGCGCTCTCTCCAGCTCAGCGTCTGAATCCTCCGTCTCCTCATCGCTGTCGCGCTGTGTATATCCGGAAGGCGCGAACCAAATGCGGGCCATGGCGCTCGCCGTTTCGGCTAGCGTTGCCCTACCCTGGAATGCTCGCCGCAGCGGTGCGTTCTCGGTGCGCTCGACCACTCCGACGTTGTGGTGAGCTCCGGGCGCTTCATCAACCTGTGAAATCCCCTGTGAGATTTCGTCCCCCTCGCCCAGTATGCGTTCGACGAGGCTTCGTTGAGCCCCTCGCAGATACTGCTTCATCACTTCAAGCTTTTTCTTGATCTTGCCATTCTCTGCCCACCTCCCTGCGAGCTCCTTGGCGCCGTCTCCCTCGAGATTCTTTAGCGCGACGTCCTCATCCTCATCTCGCACAGCCATCAGCTTCTCGAGTAATCCACGAGCGCCGGGGCCCTCGCAGTCAGGGGAGAAGGGATTTGCCTCGCGGTCCACACGATCTCCTGCTAAACAGTCTGCGAACATCTCACGCACGCATCCGTGGTCGAGGCCCATAAGCGCAGGATCGAGTGTATTTGGTACGACCTGCTTAGGCCGGAAAAGTGAGACAAAGTCCCTTAATTCTGGGAGAGGCGAGTGGCGGGAAAGCGGCACTAGCTGTGGGTGAGGATATAAGGTAATGCTAATACAACAGAGTTTGAAATGACGAACCAGATGGTTAACGATTTCTCCACGTGCAAGCCTTTCTCTTGTTTCCTTCAGGTAGAGATCCCACCCGGCGACACCCATCGTAACCGGATTGACATAGACGACGTGCTCGCCATTAGCATTGACACTCCGACCGGCAGCCACGGTCTGATTTCGTGGGCTTTCTGCCACAACACTGACATGATTGCAACGGTCAAATCGCTCGCATGCGTGAAATCGTGTACTGGCGGCATCCTGGGTTATGATGTTCTGGAGGAAAGGTTCGCCTTCAAGATGCTTGTAAACCCCGAACTTGTAACGATCGACATGTATCTAGGACGTATCACGTTAGTACGGCAGCTGGGACCAGTACATATCGACTGACCCGAGTGCGGAAGGTACGAGAAATGGCCTTTAGGACATCTTCGTAACCCCATGTCCAAGCGTTGATGAAAAATAGTGTCGTGGGTGGGAGGAGACACATCAACTCCATGAGTCCCGACGTCGCCGCGTCCTGTAGATATTTCTGTGAATTTAATTCCCTGGAATGCTAAGAAAACATGCTATAACCTTCGTAGGGACATGAAGGGTGCTAAAAAGGCATGCCGTGTCGAGGTGAATTGCTTCCAATGTGTGCAGTACGTCTTCGTGAGTTCGGCGAGCCCCGCTGCAAGACGGTGGCGGGGCGAGGTATTTTTGTAGGAAGGGGTTCTTCATCAGGGATTGGAGGAACCACGGTTCAGCTCTGAAATCTCCGGTGTGTAAGACTGCCCCATCATCGCCCTCGATAAGGAACCTGTCGAGCAACGCAGCTTGAGCTGAACACGATAAGACAAGAGAAGAAAAGAACTCTGGCGTACATAACTGCTCCTGGACAATGGTTCGCATCAAACAATGTGAGTTTGACTCTTTTTTTGTCGTCAAGCTCGATTGTAGTTGGCGTATACAGGGGCAGTGTACGCTGAGAGAAAGCGTGAGTCCTTCTGCTCGTCAAATTCCGCACACATATACATTCGGATCATTTACGTAGCACTTCGCAAAACATTTCATATGCTGCGATTAAGACGAAATGTACTGACAATTAAATCCCTAGCACCTTCAAATAAGAGGGTTCCGTCTTGCATAACTCTGGGCTCGACTTTGAGATGTGCGAATGTGCGGGTTTTCTCGGCTCTGATGTCTTGATCCTTGAGTGCCCGTTCGCCATAAACTTCATGCCGCAAGAGCATTTCCTTGGCATCGCGGGAGCAAATGACCTGTCCGCTGAACGAACGAGCAGATAATCCGTACAAATGGTCGGTGTGAGTGTGAGTGAGGAGGTGTAGGGCGGAGGGAGGCTTTGATCCATAGGATGCACAGAAATTGTCCACTTTTATTGGGTAGGGTGGGATAAATGAGTCAAAGGGGGTCCCCGTGGGCATTGTGTGCTTTCTTCCGGCGAGGCCAGACAGTGGAGCGCATAAGTTGAAGCCGTTGAGTGCACAATCAGACACTTGATTTTGTACGAGTGAATGGGACTTGTGGAACTGCCCACCCTTTCTGTGGCGAGGTTCGTTGGAGTTGGATTATGCCGGAGGATAGGGGCGGGCTGGTTTATCCTTTAAAGCTGCACATTTGCACGAATAAAATGTGGCGCGCAAGGTATATGCCGTAATGACGGGGGGAGGAAGATACTGAGGTGGAAATCCCTTGATGCCGGAGAAGGGAAGTGGCGGGGATTCGGCAAGGAGCTAAATGCAAGGCGCGTCCTGGCGCGTCGCGTTCGAGCGCGTTCGATCACGTGCATATAGGGTTCCTGCACTATTCCCACGCCGCCCATTCTCTGGCAAGCGTCTTTCGTAGAGCTATAGTACTCCTGAGTCGCGAGCGTTGTCAATCCAAGATGGCTACCAAGTCTAAGGCTAGGTGCGCTTTCTGTCAAACTCTTCACAAAACGACACTCACTAGCTGTTCTCCCTCGTCCGATCCAGGACAATCATCGTACGGATGATCTCCACAGCGAAGACCGGGTTCTTCTACACTACTCAAAGGTTACGTCTGGGTCCGAGGGTCGCTGCAGTCAAATATGATCCCAAGGGTAAGTAGCCGTCCTATTACACTTGATGCTCACTGAAAATTTTGGTTTTTTGATCATAGTCAAGGCACGAGTCCTTTTTGTGGAAAGCAAGAAGTCGGCGAAGTAGCCAGCACACTATCCTGCGTTCGACGATCCGCCCATGGATCCTCTCTGGCGATCAGTACACCTGTCCAACCTGACGCGGGTTTCCACTACTCCGCTGTCACTCTCGTTTACCGCTCGCTACGAGGGCAATGTGGCCTTGGATCTTTGAGAACCTCGTGAATCGCGGTTATACCACATGTTTCGCTGAGAACACTTCTGCGTGGGCGGCTAATCATGGATACCAACATTATCATCAGGCAACGATTCATTCCCGTTGGTTAGGAACAAGCTGCGAGTGGGCATGTACACTATCTATCGCACGCACCACGTAATGAATTCGACTGTTGAGGTCAGCGGTATGCCAAGGTTGCGTTAGATATCATCGGTCTGCAGGTATGTCTACAGACATTATTTGCATGAGTTACGCACTGCACACACCACTGCGATCTGGCGACATCAAGATGAGGTTCAGGTACAGAACAATGATATAAGAGACGCGCAGCTATGGAGTGCTTCCAGTTCAGGTAAGTTGCCGTCAAGTAGCAGTGATTTGTGGTGCAAGCATGGCAACACACATTGACCCCTGGCCGTGTCTCACGTTAAGACGAAGAAAGAACGGGAAGCTCAGACCCGTACTCGGGCAGAATCACATGCATTGTCTCAGCCGACGGACGGGACTGTCCATTTGTGATGCAGCTAGAGCCCTCGAGAAGACACGTTCTCAGATCCGCTTTCTTGATGTAGAGAAACTCATTACTAGAGACGTGACCTCTACGTTGGGTCGAGATGATCCTCATATCGATCCTGCCCAGAGATATACAGAAGCTTCAGAATAACATTCTCGTATTCAATTGGTTCATTTCCGTCCAGCATCTTTCAAGCTGTCATAGACTGCGTATCACTTCCATCCCACAGGTAAGGTAATATCGCAAAACTGAAGAGTTGGATTGATAGCAGGAGCGGGTCCTTGCCGATGTACGCTCTTGCAATGCCGTCGACTGCGCCTGGTACTAAATCTGCGGGTGTACAGCCGAGATCTTGTGCTGGAACTCCGCGGCTTCAAGAGGTTATTCAATTTCCGGGCGCGCGCTTATTACACTGCGGCCAAGAGCAAAAACGCACTGCCCTTCATCAGCTGTCGGTTGACTGCCACAGCCGCGTCTCGGGAATCGTATACGCACAGGTTCTTCGACTCCACAGATGCAGCCTCGCAACTCGGAAGACAGCAGTGTGACCGCCTGCATGCTGACAATTCCCGAAGCTTCTACTCTGCCTCGCTGATCGCATTTGATCAGTGAAATGGGAGAATACGGCCTCATCGTGTATCCAGTAGCCTTCACGTGTAGGCGATGATGATGGTGCGAGCCATCACACAGCGGCGAGCGTTTCCCCTCTACATATATAGTCAAGGTATCGATCGCGCTAAGTGTCCCCGCACCTTGACCTGACTACAACATCAATCACAACTACAGCCCACAAATATTCACAATGACTCAAGTCTGCGAATGGGAGCCCGGAACTTGGTACGGCGAGGGATCCATTGTCGTATACCAAGGTACATGCTGTTCTATGCACATTGGCAGACGGTTTCTGAATATCTCCGGGAACACCTCCGGATGATAGGTGCCCGCTACAAGATCATCCAGCCACACACATCTGAGGTACGTTAGACCTGACGTTTAAGATCATCAAGCGATGCTCATGCATTGTGTCAGCCCGGATGGGAGCCCCCCGCAACCCCGGCTCTCTGGGGTCGGATGCAAGAGGAATATGGATATACCCAACAGCAAGGTTACGGTGGTGCCCCCGCCCAACAGCAGGGATACGGTGGAGGTGACGGCGGATACAACCCGTCGTACGTTCAACCTGCCCAGGCCCCACAGCCTCCTCAACCGTCTCCAGGTAAGGTCGACATCAGATCGCACTTCGGATGGCTTATAACCACGCTTTCAGGCGGCTACGGTGGTGGCCAAGGATACAGCGATGACAAGGGTCAGGGCTACGAGGAAAAGCGCTGGGATGAGCACCAGGAGCAGCAGGTTGAGATCCACCATGAGGAACGTCAGAAGCACTGGTACGATCTCGATGAGAAGCGCAAGAAGCAGCTAGAGGTATACCCATTGCTGCGAAGATGACCTCCTCGCTGACGTTGAACGTTACGTAGGTCGGCGGCGGTCTTGCCGCCGGGGCCGCGCTCCTCGGTGCTGGGTATTATGCCTACCATAACCATCAGAAGAGCGAGGAAGAGGTACGTAAACAAGTTCGACACGTCCTCAGTTGTGCTTACCCGTATTCGACGCTACAGAAGAAGGCTCAGGTCTGGGCACTGCAGAACTGGATTCAGGAAGCCGAGGCACGCACGCGCGCATACTATGCTAACGGTCCCCGCGGACCTGCCACTTGGGTCTTGGCTGAGGGCGGCAAGGTCCCTGATGGAGCTATCGCCGCCGGTGAGCAACAGGGCCGTCCCCTGTATATTGTCCGTGCCTTCCACGAGGTAAAACTTTATCTATATGCTATGGGACAAGTGCTTACCTGCCTTTTGGCTAGGGTGGACTCCGTACGTGCTATAGATTCAATGTACTCCTAACAAACCACTCAATACGTTATCTGCAGAGATCGGGAAGGTCTCCCCTGCCTTCCAGCAGGGTGCTATGATCGGTTACGGCTTCAAGGAGTTCTCGGTCAGTGCACCACGCAGCCCGCATTCCTGGACGTATCATAATGTCACTGCATAGATTCCCAAGTACGAGGTCCTAGTAGGCGATCACCACGCCTTGCACTGGGTCGATATCCGCGGGCGCGTCAACATCAGATCGCTCCCGGGTCGTCCAGTCGAGGGCGGACGTGAGGCAGATGGTACTCCTCTGCTTGTCGCCAGGGTACGTCACGGAGAGTCCGTGATCCCGGGCAAAGCAGGAGAGAAACTTGATGGTAAGTTGATTACCTTTATGATGAGAGCGTCCGCTGAGCGTTGCGTTAGGCGCGGTCGTCCCTGCCAACAACACCGAGATCGTATCTGGGGTAAGCAGTCTTTATTAAGGCAGAACTTCTAAAACTCATAATCTCTTGTGCCTATAGGAATACCAAGTGCTCTGCTACGCTTAGAAGTAGCTTGTCATTCTGATCGTAGGAGTTCTGTCTTGCAGATCAACATTGTAACTGCCACCTCAATGTACAGTAGTCGTTATAGCCTTGTTTTTATCCGTTCGTATGGATGGTGGTGCTCCGTGAGAAGAACAGAGAACGTTATCAAAGCACAGCATCCGAGCACCTCACGAGCCAATGTCTTAATCGGCTACTGTCACCAGGCTCCAGTCCGGCGTGGTCAGGCGCTGCAGGTGAGCATTTCTTCTCTCTCCTTGGCTTTCAAGCAAACTATAGAGGTGGTCTAGGCGTGCTAACTTCAAATGCTTTTGTACTTTGGCTGTGCTTTTTTAGAAATTACTGCTGCCGTTCTCCAAATGGAAGGCACTTCACTTGTTCCATATATGGGATTCACTTTGTCCTGAGGCTGCCGTATGCGGGGCATCATGAAAACAACGTTCTCCTCGGTTAGTAACGAGCAGTCAGATCTGCTAAACGCCTTCAGCATATAATGTTCCGGAAGACTGCGTCGTAGACGAGGGTTGAGTGCATCGTTTTCTCATCTAGGGCTCTCCAGAGCGGCAGCGCCCTAACCTCGAGCAAGTCATCACAGTCCTTCCCGTCCACTCTCTCTTGCATTCCATATCATGGTCGTGTCGTGGGTTACCTACCACAATGTCGTCATCGCATTTTCGTTCATCGGGTTCGTTCTGGTCAACATCCCGCTGTGCTGGCATCTGGAGGGTAAGTCTGGGACATTGAAGTTGTGGCTGCAAGGCTGGTTAACTTAGGGTATTCAGCATGGAACATGGGCTGCGTTCTTTACATCTTTTGGGCTGGCAGCCAATGCCTTATACAATTCGTCAACGCGGTCATCTGGAAAAACAACGTAATAAATTGGGCACCCGTCTGGTGCGACATCAGTGTGTATTCTCGTTCATCGATCCACTTAACATACATGAGCTCACGCACAAGACGTTAGCGTCGAGGTGGCTCATTGCTTCTAGTGTTGGAATTCCCACCGCATCTCTCCTGATCAGCAAGCGCATCTATCATATAGCCAACATTACCACTGTCCAATCAAGCCGTGCCGACAGGCGCCGCATGGTCTTAATCGACACGTCTATTGGCCTGGGGATTCCTATCGTACAGGTCGCACTATGTGAGTCTAAAGTAATGGGTGAGGTTTTACCGTGTTGACCACGATGGATAGACTGGTTTATTCAGGGCCATAGATTCGACATCATCGAAGGATTTGGATGCATCTTCGCCATACCAAACACGATCTTGTCCTCTTTCCTCTTCTACGCGACACCGATATACATTGGTCTGGTGTCCGCTGTCTACGCCGGTCAGTATTGCATGATTGGCGATAGTAGCGCGACTAATCTGACTACTGTAACAGCACTTACCATACGAGCGTTCTACAAGAGACACAAGCAAATACGCGAGCTGATGTCGGCTAACAGCAGCTTAAAATTCAACCGCTACTTCCGCCTCATGGTTCTCGCTGGCATTGAGATATGCTTAACCATCCCCCTCGGAATCTGGACATTGGTTTCGAATGCTACGCAAGTACCCATATATCAATGGGAAGGCTTAGCGAACTTGCATTACGGCTTCTCTGCTGTTGACCAAATCCCCGCGATAATCGAGCAGTCCGATCCGTCCATTCTGAGTCAAGTAGCGTTCAACCAGTGGTCGGTAATATCCTGTGCCTTGCTTTTTTTCGCGCTATTTGGTGTTACGGGTGAAGCCCAGAAGCACTACCGGGTAGCGTGCGAATCAGTTATGCGGAGACTAGGACTCAACACGGTGTCCTTTGGCCGCCTTGCGTTCTGGACGCGACTTCGGTGAGGCATTTCACATGTTCCTGCACACGCCGAGCTTCTGACTTATTGCGTGCTAGCCGAAGGAACAAGCCTCCTCCTGCCGATGCCATTATTCCCACCTTCATTCAGCGTCCGAAACCTGAATTCCCGCCTCCTATCTCCATTTCACTGTCATTGGATGACGTCGGGCCAGACGGCAATGTCAAGGCGACGTATCCCCCATCGTCCCACTCCGGGGACTCAAGTACCTACGTTTCTCATCTCGATGTGAAGGTGACGGAGAAACCCCTGCCCCCTCTTCCCCCATCGGCTTCACTTGACGTCACGCCGGTTGTCATTGCACGGCCCTTACCAGACGTGCCTTGGTCTGTGAGCCGGGACTCCATTGAAATTGTTTGACGGTGTTCACAATAGTCCGATGTACAGTCAGGTACCTCATATCGTTTTTATACTGTATACTAATTTTCAGCCTCTGTTGTACTGTCGATGCGTAGACCGACCGAACACACTGTAGCATACGACTCTCTTTCGCGCTCAACCTGTGCTTATAACATGATGGTCTCTATGGATTGAAAGGCTCCAAGTCTGTGTAGCTCGTCATTCTGCCACTGTGCAAATCAAATGGTTATAACGCACTGGCATTCATCAGCGAAACCTCTGAAAAATGCCAGTGCCTTATGCCGGTGACCAATACGCACCAGCATTCCCGCCTGCAATAAACCCCTGACAAGGTATTTATAATGTAGGTACAATGATGATGATATTCGAGAGGCACTCAACATAATTGGAGGGCTGTTGTCATCCTGAGGCATAAATTCCCCGGTTTGACAGGGCTTGTATGAGGCTTGCAAGAAGGCCGACCGTATGCCGAGTGATTGCGAACGTGCAGCAGAATTGGGAGATCCGGTATTACCTCACGGTTACTCACGTGTAGGTTAGGGTTACACCCTCGAGGAATGCCAACACATAACTATCCAAGCTCGATTTCCCCCAGAATTGCCATCTGAGGGGTATGGTTCCGCTCTGTTTCTTGGACGCAATCGTTTTTGTATCTCGAGTCAAACTTACTATGCTCTTCTGTGGGCATCTCCCATGAAGACTGGCATTTGATAGACATATTTTTATTTTATCAATCGCTCTGCATCTGTAGTCTCCCGATCAACCTGGCAGCATAAGGATCATGTTTCAATTGCCTTCATGCACTTTGCACACGTAGCGTCTAGCAGGGACTCGCTGGGCACTGGATTCCCGGCCAACACGGACATGATGTGAGTGTGGGCCGCCATCTCTATGCAACACTGAGATCCGTATGTGAGTGAATTCACTGCCATATCAAATAGCCAGAGCTATGCATGGTCTAGGTTAGGGTGACCATGACACCCTGAATTCTCTGCCGCCCCACTGATAGCGTGGAATTTTCAATGTCTGACTGCTCTGGAAAAGCTCGACCCACACTCTAGGCATATATAGGACCATGGTCCTTCCAAGCAGGACCTCCCATACTTGACTTTGAGTCGCCTTTGTCTTTCCAACCAACTCAAGTCCGAGCTTTGAGGAACACTCAATGATATCTCTGATCTACTGGCTGACTGCTACATAGGCTGTGCAATCGGAGTGATCCCGGTACGTTGCTTGCCATTGTCTGTCTGGAGCAATAGTGATTTTTGACTGGACTGTTGCACCTCAAGCAGCCGAGCGTGCTTTCGTAGTGGTGGACTAAGTGAGTATGCATGTTATCTATCATAACACAAACTGACTCTATATATACAGATCGGTTATCAACCATGGCTATTGGTGCTTGAGCATGTCTTGCAAAGACCCAGTGATGTATCTTGCTCGTACATTGTAAAATAGTAGTACTTGTATTTCTGTGCACACAATACATCTCCTTAACTTGATGTCTGCGAGCTGTCTGAGCAACTGTGATGACTGGCAAAAAGTGCCTCAGCAATGTAATGCCCATAAGGAAACAGTTGCTCAGTCTGGCATGTTCTTAGAATCCTGGCGACCTCATATATGACAGCACAAATGGTAATAGATGCCATGTATGGGCAGTTCGTACATATCTTGTGATGACTTGCATTGTATTACAAGGCAACACAAATATGGCATCAATTGGCTGGACGTCATCAGAATTGCACCTCTGGCATTGATTGCGAACATTGGCATTTTGCGTGAGCGCTATAATGCCTTATCAGACCACCACAATAATTACGAGTGATTGCATTGATTGTGGCATGTTCTAAAAGCCTTATAGAAGCCTTACAGGATAGAATTAGTTTTGCTGATGTTGATGGGCGTGCTGTACGGCCTTTTACTGTTACCTGTGTGACTTGACTTTCGCCCGCCTGACTTTGATTGTAATCACGTGTTTGATGGCTGCCAGAATGCGATATTTACTAGTGAAAATGGATAATGTCATCCGATTACGCGATCCAGTCATTTCACCTACCGCATCTGTCAAATCAAGGTTGCACACCGGTCCACACAATTAGAAACAGCCCTCTCTCGCCATGGATTGTTTCGAACATCCAACCACTGACTTTGGGGCCTAAACAGAGCCTATGAAAAATGCATCCAGCAAGTTATATCATGTTTCCTTAGCTAGCCTTAGCTAGCCAGCCTCAGTGAACTTTGAGCTTAATGCATGCTCGAAATGCACTCGAAGTGGTGATTATGTCATACAAGCACCCCTGAAGGGTCTGCTAGCGTACACTCGAAGTAATAATACATTTATTCTATTTCTCAATGAATACCCAATAAAATGTCAAACCACGGCGAGGCTACACAAGGGTAGCTTCGGCGGGCGCCCCACTTAGACTTCTATAAATGGGTCTTAGACCTGACTAATCGGCGATGGTCGCCGGTTCTCACGCGCATTGGCCACCCGAGAGGACACCCGAGCGAGACGGAACGTGTGGTACGGGATGCAAAGGACTACATGTAGTATTTTTAATATGTAGGGATTATTTGGAGGCTTTGAATGGTCCAACAGGCGTAATATTTAATGAAGGGGGCAAGCTGTTCTTAAATGCAGGATCTCCGGCAGCTAGGGACCGGATCACTGACCGGGGCGGACCAAAACGAGTGCCGGGGCGGGCATTAGGGTGGTTTGGCCCGGGCAGGAAGCTTATCTGATTTGACCGATTTGCGATCCCAAATGACATTATCTACTCACGCTATTTACTAGCCATTACTTAGTCTTACTGCCTACCAGTTTCTTGGTGCGTGGATGCTTCTCAATACGGTACTAGATTCAATCGTTGCTCTAAGCCTGTTACAATCGTAAGCTAGCTGCTAACGAAGATTTATTGTATGTGATGAACACTCATATGGACTGGACAACTCGGATTTGATCTCGCACACGACGGCCCCGTTAAGCATTTCATATCCCCAGACCTTGACTGCCCACGAGGTGGGATGGATATAGCAGAGCTACCACTCCTACTCCATGTGATTATCCAAGCCGGAATAGAGAACGGATGTTGTCGAGGATCGACAATCACAGGCACGGCGGGGAACAAAACTAATGTCAAGACCCCATGATTTGTCAAACTTTGTGCGCAGCTTCGACTCTCCCACTCCATGCCATAATCCTCACCGGGGCCGCGGTGTTTAACAGGTCTTTTCACCTCATCCTTGCCGAGCCTTGTGGCGAGACTTTGACAGCCAATAGCTAGAGGTAATTGTAGCGACTATGATCGCATTGACATAAAAGTGCGAGTTCGTCCCAGGCTCCTCTTGCTAGGAGCGACGTAGCCAAAACCGTCGTTAACGACCTCTCAACGTGTATTCAATCACGGTGTTTCTTCCATGTATCGAAGTATACTTGGTAGCACTCGTGCACGAATCGTGCCTGCAGGTACCCGGGCCGTTTATCAATCATGTTCGCATAATCCACGGACTAGTCCTCCTCATGACCTTCTCATTGGCTGCGATTCCTGCGACCATATGGCATTGTACCGCTCTAATTATACAGAGGTGAGTCGAATCTTGGTGAAGCCGATCAAATGATCCTTCCAATGTAGTTGGCCCTTCGCCGTACCGCATGTCAAGTCTCTCGGCATAAGTCGCATGATGTTTGCTCCCCAGCGTTGGCTTCCGCGGAGCTGGATCGCTTCATGCTAGCACAACAACAGAAATAACCGTGGTCATCCTTCCATTCTATCGCCGCTTTTGAGGATGTCTCAAATTTGCTCAGAAGGATTCCCATGACTTAACCAGGCCGCTGCCATTGTATAAATGCGGCGAGCATGCATGAACATTGCCACCGGTCATCGCCAGGCCCCGTTGGAGTCTAGGATGTTCAGTCTCTTGATACCTCTGTTGACGTTGGCCGCCAGGCCACTGACAGCGAGCCCTGTGTTGCCTCGAGCGTCAGCGCCTACTGTCAATTTGTCCTATGGAGCGTTTCAGGGTTATACCGATGGTGAAGTGGATGCATTTCTTGGTATGCCTTTTGCCGAACCACCGTGCGTACTAGCTTTCACAAATTGTTTGAGGACATCTTTCGATGTTTGACATTGCAGAGTTGGAAATCTGCGCTTCAACCTCCCTCAGGCGCCAACTGCCTTTGACGGCATTCAACAAGCAGTGTCATTCGGACCAGCCTGTCCGCAGCAAGGCCTTGTCCTTCCAGAGAGTGCACCCTCGAACTTGGGCTGGTCGCCCCCGAGTATCTCGATCATCTCCGAAGATTGTGAGGCCCATCAACCGTGCGAACGTAAGTGATGTCTGATCGAGGATCGTGCTAGGTTTGTCGATCAATATCTTCAAGCCGTCGTCTGCATCCGCAGGCGACAACTTGCCCGTTGTTTTTGTGAGTGGTTGCACGTTGACGAGCATGGCTTGTGTTGAACATGCACGCTAGTGGATTTTCGGAGGTATAGCCTTATAAAATGTGCGTGATGATTGGTTACACAACGACGATGCTTCTTTTCAGGGGGATTTGAGCTCGGAGATTCCGCGCTAAATCCCGGGACGACGCTTGTCGAGCGTTCAATTACTCTCGGCGAACCGATCGTATTTGTCTCTCATAACTACCGTCTGAGTGGTAATTTATCCAGCCTGCTTTGTTGCATTGCACTGATATCAGAGCTTGAAGCACTTGGCTTCCTAGGTGGTACGGAAGTGAAAGAAGCTGGTGTGGGAAACTTGGGACTCAGAGACCGTAAGCAATCACGCATGTATTCGTGAGGCTTTCTGATGTTTGATTCTCACCCAGAGCGTTTTGCCATGCAATGGGTTAACCAGTACATCTCGGAGTTTGGCGGTGACCCTAGCAAAGTTACCATGTGAGCTAATTCTGCAGCATCTAGCCTCAAGGGACATACTAACGAATCCCTGGGTAGATGGGGCGAAAGTGCAGGCGCGTACTCGGTTGCCGCGCACTTGATTTGGAATGGTGGTAATACTGAGGGTCTGTTCCGGGGAGCGATTATGGCAGTCTCATACTTTGTTGCTCTGCTTGCTTAGCTGAAGATTGCCCCCTTTTCAGGAATCAGGCTCTCCCATACCGCTTCAAGATATTTCTGAAGGGCAGCCGTACTACGATCAGCTCGTCGAAGATACTGGCTGCTCGGGGACAGCAGATACTCTGGACTGTCTGCGCGATGTACCGTACGAGACGCTCTTGACGGCCGTTGCTCTGAGTCCGAGCATCTTCGCATACCAAAGCCTAGATCTCGCTTGGGAGCCCCGAATTGATGGCGATATCCTAACTCAGGGCGGCCCTGAATATTTGATGTCTGGTCAATATGCCAAGGTGCGACCCTCTGTTTCCTCGTCATCGTTCTTGGCTCATCATACGTGGGTCAGGTTCCAATCATTACTGGAGACTGCGATGACGAGGGAACCTTGTTTTCACTCGGTAATCTGAATGTCACGTCAGTCTTTTGTAGTGACTATAGCATGCTCCGCATGTCCTCATGCATGGTCTTCGTAGGACGGATGACGAATTCTTGACCTATATTAACACGTAGTAAGTGATCCCCGCTCCGAACTATAGGACACATACTGACCTCCGATGAAGTTACCTCACCAACATTACTTCTTCCCAGTTGGCCTCTGTCGGGGAAGCTTACCCTGCCGATCCACTTGATGTAAGCATCGGAACACTATCATCACATCCGAGAGGCGCTACTCATTGACGGCAGGGTTCGCCCTTTGAAACAGGGTTGCTCAATATCTTAACGTAAGTTACTAACGCATTTCCACATTCTTGCGTTACAATCTTTGATAAGGTCGCAAAACAAACGTTTGGCGGCGTTCCAGGGTGACTGGATGTGGCAAGCTCCACGAAGATTAACGCTACAGTATGTGTCTCAAACCCAAGACGCGTGGGCGTACCGTAAGTGATGAGTCGATTGTCAATGCAAAGACGGGTAGTCTCAGACTGCGTTTCAGTTTACCAGCGAAACAAAGCTGTTCCGTACCTCGGCTCCTTTCACTCCTCTGATCTGGATGAATTTTTCACCGCCATCGATTATGTTGGAACGGATATAATCAGTGAGTCCGGAGATTTGCACACTAGCATTACCCGGAGTACATGCTAACTTGGGATATTTATCAGTCAACTTCGCGAACAATCTCAATCCGAACGCCCCGGAGGGACTGGCCCCAGGCGTCAGCCCTCTTTCGGAAATCAACTGGGAACAATGGGGATCCAATCCGTCCGCACCGCCGTTGTTGACATTTATGGATCCTACCCCGAGTGTCGAGATCACGACAGACACGTTCAGGGCAGATGCGATGACCCTATTGAATAATCTGGCAATGGGGATGAATTGAAGACAGGCAGATTATAGCGTATGCAAGTGTATCCAACAACCCTTCTACGAGAACCACGAAGTCACTTCGTTCAGGTAGTATGACTCGGTAGTGTCAGGAAAATACACTGCTTCTGATGGTCAGCGATCGCTCCCGAATGGTGTCGTACTAGCTCGATGGTAGTCGGATGAAAGCTGAACGGAACCGCTAAGGACAAGTCTTCAGGTCATGGCGGCGGCGATTGCAAATGTCAAAGCGGTAAGGCGTCGATGTCCTGTCCACAGATGTGCCCCAGACCGGACCTAGTCGTCGCAAACGAAGCACACAGATATTACCTTCGAGAATGCAACGCAAACTATGAGTCGCCACCGATAGCCTGCGGCGGTTCTCTGCCCAGGTGTGCTATATACCGACTCTATGCTGGGTGCGAGGGTTCTCTTGGCCAATCCTATATCCGCCCAAAATTCAGCGCCAACGATCATCCTCCCCTATGGACCGTACGAGTCAGACCTTACCGTAAGTAATGTGAACTCCTTTTTTGAAACGCGTTATGCCAAGCCGCCGTGAGTAAACCGCTTTTGATTGACACTGTATATCCTGAAACTCCCCGAGCGCAGGCATATGCTTCATATCCAGACGTCGTAAGGCTGTAAAACATATGCGCTCGCCAACACCGCAGGTAAATTTAGGGATCACCGATTGACACGGGGACTCTGAATGACATGATGTGCGCTGGACATGCTTCTCCATCGTATCCGCTACTGGATTGCAATCAGTTTGGAGTCAGAACTCTACCTCTTGATGATATTAGAATAGATACCATCAGTTATGCATATATCGTCCAGATTTTGACTGATCTTTCTCAGATAGCCCTGCAGACAACTTAAACCACAACGCTTCGGAAAGACAGACTCCTTACCCTAGCTTTCTCTCCGGAGGGAACGGGTCCGATTCGTTTGCCCTGCTGTTGCTGATGTTGGTGAACCCGACCCCACTGGTCGCGATGACTGTAGACACATTCAAGGTGAACGCGACTGCGAGTCCTTTGGACCAGCTGCAGGTCCAGATTGAATGGTCACCTTGCACTCTATATAGAGAAGCGAATATGAAACAGTATCGTTCCTTTACACACCGGTAAACACTCGGGTTTCTAATTGTGTTAATCGTTTGGGGCCATATCATCAGAAGCGGTTCCATCAAGATATAATCCATTCGGCGTAACTGTTTATCAATCACATTTAAAGATGCCCTACATCCAGTGCCCCGCTTCCTTCTGCCTTGACTACAAGTCATGAAACAATCGAAATGTAGTCATGAACAAGGGGGAGTCCTGGAATGACCATGACAATTCCGAACTTCCTGAAACTTGACGCTGTCCACTGAATATAAAACTTGACGTACCAGCGCTGTCTTTCATGTGCGTTTGAAGCTAGGTAAAGCAATGATCATGACCGGTGAAGGCGCCATCAAGCGGATGCGAGCATAGTATATCTTGTAAGCGTTGATTTCTCGGCGTGTGGAGGAAACCGCTACTACTGAACTCGAGTTGGTTGGCCGGCGAGGTAATATGCTACGTGGGATTTCTTGTGTGCCTGAGGGCATTGACAGAGTACCATAGACGCCGCCAAGACTCGTAAGACAGACCAGAGAGGAAACGTAGATGAAGGATTAAGGATGAAACGCATCTCGAGGGAACAGCCACGAAAGAGCCTGGCAGTTGGCTATTACACGGCACTTCGCCGTCGAGCACGTGGTGCTGTTACCTTGTCCTCCGACCACTCCCTTCGGCTCACCTTACTGCGGCTCGCGAGTTCTCCACGTCCGCAACGTTACGACAGTACGCTACGCGCCTCAGCAACAGTACTCGTGGCATATAGGAGCCGGTAGGCGTAGTCAAACCTGATAGAGTCGACTGAAGTCCGAAGGTATGTTTTCATCTCACCTCTGTGAGGATGTCCTTGTACTTAATGACGAGGACTAGTAGCCGGGATGTCCAAGCTGCCCTCCCCGTTTGACGAGACACCCGCGCATGCTCTCAACTCCCATTTCCTTCTCCATCCCGAACGCGAGGATGAATATCATGCCGCGACTTTTGATGTAGCTTCATCGGATGGAGACACCGCGTCTCAGCGCTCCATTGCGCTTTCCTCACCTCCGCACTCACCTCGTATATCAATACCGCTCGACTTGGCCCAGGAGGAGCATAGACCCGAGCCTCAGACACCTGTCAAATTCATCCGCGAGAGTCTTGCCCTTTCGAAACGCAACACGCTTGATACTCAGTTCAGCTCAGATGTTGACGACGACCGCAGCCTCTTCACTCAACGGCTCGAGGAGGGTGAATCTCCTATCTCGAGTATTGCTCCATCCGTGGACGACCGCGAGAAGTTTCCCAGCGCTGCACTTGTGGCACCTGCTCTCGCGTCCCCACCTCCCCGACCTTCTGCTGGGATCAGGGGGAAGAGTGACACGGAGAGTGTTATGTCATTTGGCTCAGAGGGCACGTCATATTCCAAGAAGGCGCGTCCTGAGTCGCTCCTGCCTCAGGCCACACAGGGTCCACTCGTGCTTGGGATCGCTTTGGTAGACTTCGATCATCTGGTATGTGTGACAGCTTCTGTGTTGAATCTTGTCATTCATTGGGGTGAAGGTCGGACCCAAGATTGAGTTCTCCCGTGGGGACGTCGTCGAGGACGAGGAGATCGCCAAGATCTTACCGTTCCTCGCGCTTCCTGATGGTGCTCACTTAGTGAGCCACGTCCACTTGTTCTCTGACCTCATGCTAAATGGCATTAGTCTTCCGAAGACTACTCGTACTTCCATCTCGTACCATCAACATCTCCGAGTCCTACCACTATTTTTGGTATTTCGTCAGTCGCCCTCTCATCCCGCATACATTTGGTCATCTTATGTCCTCGTTCAGGTGTAACCGCCAGATTAGTGCCGCAGATCTGCTCGTGAAGGATCCAGACGTTACACGGTCTACGGTACAGAAAGCTGTCGTCGTGCTTGCGTCAAAACCGGTGTTCGGTCTCATACGGTGCGTGTGACAGTGCTACTATTCGTCAGCTTGTTTGAACTCGGCTTCAGCGACCGACTTGGTGTTATTACAAAAGCGTTATTCGCTCAGCGTAACTTCTCTGACATGAGCATCTTGGATGACTTCCATATGTCATTGGAGCACTCGCTTCGTAGTCAGATGACTGAGAGTGGGTTGTACATGGGTGCGTAATTCTATGCTGAAATTGCACCGAGTTCTTACTGTGTTTACAAGTAGGAACTAGTCTGTAAGTGATTGACTTTCTACTGATTGTTGGAAGTCTGTGCTCATTCGTATAGACGAGAACTTGTGCATACATTTCGACAGCGAACGCTGGTCCTTCTTAAGGCGCTCATGTTGCAGAAGAAGGTGAGGTCCCTGACTGAAACCCCAGTGGGGTGAGAGATACTGACTGTTGTGTCTAGATTATGTTCTTTGGACATCCCGTGGAACGGCTTTGCACGTATCAATACTCACTTGTCACACTAATGCCAGGTACGTTCCTACTTCGTGCCATGTAAGTTGGTGAGATGAACGGCATGCCATAGGCTTGCTGCAAAATTTGGATGATTGCGGGTCACCGCCCCTTGCCGCCCGCGCGCAGACGCTCTCCCGTCCCACGTCATTAAAGACGTCCGATCCCAAGAGCATGATGACATTTGTTGGTATGCCCCTTGATCTATTCGGAAAGGTACGATCTATCGTGACGCCACCATCTTGCATTCTCGACTGGTTCTCATTCAACATGCTCATTTGTAACAGGATGCGTTCTTCCAGCCGTATTTGCCATTACAGCAGCTCGACATGCTAAAGGATACGCAGAGTTGGTTGTGTGGGAGCACGAACACAATCGTCACGCAGCAGAAGGAAGTGGATATCCTTGTTAACGTTCGTTTTTCGCTTTTTTCACGTTGTTTGATGTGCGCTCAATACTGTTGCCATCACCAGGTAGAAAACGGCACGATGGAGTTTCGCGACCCCAAACTTGAACGGATCGCTGGGTTAACGCCCGCAGACAGAAAATGGATGGATGATATCGTTCGAGACGTGAACGATACCTTTGTGGAAGACCCCACGAAACCGTTGGACATGCAGTATGTAGTATTATTTTTGCGCGCAGGGATGACAACTCATCCCTCCCAGCTTCAAGGGCAGTGACGATTACTTACGGCAGAAGGCACGCTTCATGGCTTCTGTGTATGCAATATTGTACTCATCCTTTGCTCAGTTTGATGAGTATATCTCTGCTGTGTTGTCCTCTGTTAAGTACGCGGATTTCCTGGCGAAAGTACAAGCAGGTGGTATCGGCATTGAAGCAGGTATGTGTTCTGAGATGTCACACGTCATGCCTGGTACATCTCATCGATGTTGCTTCACTAAGGTGACCCGAACTCAACACAAGACTTTAATGCGCTCTGGATCAAAGAGTTCAAGAAGACAAATGCATATGAAGTCTGGCAACGCGTCACTGAACCCAATCTCTTTGACTTTGTTGAAGCAAGGTAAGTAGCGCGCGCGAACCTTCAGGAGCCATGAGTGACATATTTTGTGTAGACATCCATGTAGCGACAAGCCATCCGTCGTCGCGGACATCGGCCTCCGGCTATCGGAGGGCATACAGGAACTTAAGCTCGATCAGCAGCTCGCGCCCACGCGGGAGGCGATATCACGCACACTGGCATCGGGGTCGACGAATTTGATGAAAGCAATGGAAGGCGTACGTGGCCGGTGGATGTCGCGGAACAACACCGACTCCTCGAGCGGCAATAGCAGCCAGGGAACTCCTCCCGTGACTGCCACCAACTCGAGCGAGAGCTCGATGGGGTCATCAAGTACCTCGAGCAGCGTCGATGACATGGAGAAGCGGAATGCAGCGGCTAGTGGCTCCCGCCCAGGCTCTCCAGAGCTTCAGAGGGGCTCGTTGGACGGCCCGCGCCCACAACAGCGGTCCAGCGGGCTGCGCCCTCTGAGCATGGCCATGACGCATCCTGTGCCCGCACCACCGCCACCGCCACCGCCCATGCCGGAGCCGACCCGGTTCAGCGGATGGGTCGGGTCGTTCTTCTCACCGCGTTCGTCACGTACGTCACTGGCGCCATCATTGGCGTCGTCACGGCGGGAGAGCGGATCGTCGGTGTCGACATCGGCGCGCGGACAGTCGCCGATGCCGCCGACGCCTTCCCGAGAAAGTATGCCAAGGCCGCCAGTCCCCGTGGTGGAAGACGACTTGCCGCCCGAGCTGCGGCCGAGGGACTTGGACGAGTTGTACGGCGACACGGCAACGCCCAATGGTGCTTCTCATAAGGCCAGCGTGCCACACGAGCTTCTTGTTGAGGATTCGCATGATGAGGAAGTGGAGCCAGCGGGCACTGGCATTGCTATGTGAGGACGAGGACGAGGATAGACTGCATGGATTCGTCTCTTGAATTGTTCTTTTGTCGTATTATTATGATGTTCTGTGATCATTTGCATATCCCTTTCCTCTCTGCTCGCATCCGCATACATCATTGTCGCATTTATATTCCACGAGTCAACTACGAATAATAATTTGAATATACAGCACCCTGAGATAATATTAGTATGCAAGACCAAGGGTTCCCGTCCAGATGTTAACAAGTATAGATGTGCTAGACATTACACGGGACTATGCGTACATGCAGGTGGGGTTTGCGATATGGAATACATACAATTGTATTTGCGTAAGCCAAGATCAGAGGCCTAGAGTCCCAAGAAAAAGTATAAACAAGAATAGGAAGTAAATATTTGCGCACGAAGTTCCGCAATGTATGCATGTACGGTTTCAGCCCCGACTTTCGGTTAGTCGTGGGATCACCAGGTCGTCAAATGGTAGGTCGTCAGTCGTAAGGGCTTGGGCGAGAGGAGAGCTACAGTCTGTTGACAGTTAAGATGGCGACAACTCCGTCTTGCTCTATATCATGGTTCACGCCTTCGATTGATCCAGGTCAGCTTGAGTCTTCACAGCAGATAGACATGTACGGACCTCGGCTTCCCTTCTGCAAAAGTCCAGCCCTCCATTCTACATCTGCCATCCACCACATGCCTTTCCAACGACTTCCTGCCGTCGCTTGCTCGACGAGGAAGTCACGGCCGACGTTGTAGCCGTTAGGCACGATCTGGTGGTTCTTCGACGAATCCTACGCGCTAGTTTAGATCGCCAGCACCGTGATACCTAACCAGATAATATCACCTTCTCTAGCGATGCACTGGTGCAGAGTGTCGTAAGCGTCTGCGAAACACAAGCATGCATAATACACACCCCAGAAACCATGCCCCGCTGTCTGCGAGTGTGCCGTTCTGCCGCCACGCCCTAAAATGATGCCCGCCGCGCACACTCTCCCAACACGTCCCCATGACTGGAAAATAGTCCTGGCGAGCGAGGAACTGCTCCGGCTTGCGGCCTAGACCGTCGCCAAGGTCCGCATTGTGAATGTCCCCGTAGTGCAGACCGAGGCACTCCTCTGAGTATCCGATGGACTTGGCGTAGGCGTGCAGCCCGGGCTCGGTGAGGATGTACGGGTCGGAAAGGCCAGAGATGATCACGTTGAGCGGCTCACCGAGGGTGCCATATGCCCACTATGCAGGCGAGTGTAGGTGATGTGGAATGTGTGTAGACGAGGAAAAAACATACATCGAGCAGCCGTCCCCCGAGCAATCGCGGATCGACCCATCCCGGCGTATTCTCCTCCGGAGGTAGCTCCCCATTCTCATATTTCCGTCGTGTGCTTGAAGAGGAAAGTGGTACTTGGTTTACGCCCTCGTGGGCAATGAATAAGACCGGAGAAGAGAGAACTTGCATCGCGAGCGTCGAGAACACTGTAAGGACGAGCGTGGAGTAGAACATGATCAGCATTCAGAGATGGGTGCACGACGGGACAGCATATGGCAATGCAAGGGAATCGCAGGAGACGGGTATTCCGAATATTCAAGCAATGATATGATAGCCCTAGAGAGACCGACTGGCCAGCGGTCGGAGGGAAGGGATCCGAGTGTATGTAAGAGTGTGGATAGAGCTGCGGGGCCAAGGGCCGGCGCTACTTGTCTTGGACAGCCATCATCCATGCACATCAGTCTGTTTGTCGTCGCACCTTGGTGTTGCCGGTCTCGGTCTCCCCGAGTCTCAGGTACAGAATGTCAGCGCAGGGGGAGAAGATATCATGGCTGACGAACGTGGCGGTTCGAAAACGACCCCATCGCGGACGCTGTGATCTGTTCTCACACAACTGAATCCGAGAGATTCTTCTGTCTCCGCGTGCGAGGTGCGTGAAAATGGACCTATCATCAGGAAAAATGCCCAAACCTACATAGCTCTATGTAGGTCCTGTAGACCGCATAGAGCGATAGACTACCCCCCGATTATGTAGTGCTATGTAGATCCGCCTGATCTTGCAAAGTGCTATGTAGCACCATAGACCGCGAGGCTCATAGGCTCCATAGCACCGGTAGACACTGCCTATCCATCAATTGATCATCATTATCAGATTCTTTGGGTCTCACAGCGCAGAAATTAAATTTGCATTCTCATTGATGATAATAATGATTGTAATTACAAGCTGTAAGTGACTAGCAAAACCATACTACTACATGCCTCTGCGTACAAACATACAAGCTAGCTGTACTCTAAGCATTCTATAGAAGTTGCGCCATCGTGACTACCACTGTGCAAACTATGGTGTGTAGTCCCCTGTGCCATAGATACAAGCCAAACGTGGCACGGAACCTTAGCAAGATAGTAAAACTACTAC